AGATTGGGAAGGAATTCCTGGCTGGGAGGGTGGGGATGCCCCTGGAGCAGCCTGGGATGGTGGGAGGTGTCCCAGGGGTTTTATTTACACTTGTTTTTTGTGTACACTTGGGAGCCTGGAGTGGCTGATCCCATTCCTGTCCCCTGTCATTTGTAGGGCACAGTGATGTCCTCATAGGCCTGGTCTCTGTAAACCGGGATGATCTCTATGAGAGGCTGAAATTCCTGCAGAATGGTAAGACCAGACAGGGAATCCTGTCCACATCCACATTGTGACAGGAATCCTGTTCACATCCACAGCTCCTGCTGGGGAGGACGGGCATGCACACAAGTGAGAAATCTGCCTGGAATGTAAAATAACAGAGCTGGGAAAGCTCAATTAAAAAAGTCCCACAAAATGAGAGATGTTGATCTCCACTTCCCAAGCACTTCAGGAGAGCACTGGGGCCCATCCTGAACCCACTGAGGTGCCCCCTGTGGTTTGGGGGATTTGGAACTCCCTCATCCATCACAATGTGCCCAATGCAGAATTTTCTTATCTCTGATGATTCCAGCAATTTTCCAGCCTCTTCATTGTCAGGAATCAATTCCTGTCCATGGCTCTGCCCTCTGCAGTGAAGGTGCATTGTGCCCCATAAATGTAATCCTTGAGGTTTGAGCCTGTTAATTGGCCTCATTAATTGGCTCCCCAGTGTGGGAGATGAGGAACAGAGATTGCCTTGGGTGTCTTCCCACGTGTTCCAACCTCAGAAATGCTGGAGATGAGGATGTGCTCGGCTTTGCTGAATGCAGAACACCAATGCTGCTGTGGGATTCTGTGGAATTTGTGGAATTCTCTGGAATTCTGTTCCCATTCCCACAGCCCTGGGAGCTGTCCCCTCCCCTTTTGACTGCTTCCTCTGCAACCGGGGGCTCAAGACTCTGCACATCCGGATGAAGCTGCACTTCAAGAACGGCCTGGCTGTGGCCAAGTTCCTGGAATGCCACCCCCGGGTGGAGAAGGTCATTTACCCAGGTGGGTGGGCAGGGATTTGGGAGCTGTGGTGCCCCATGACTGGGGCTGGGTGCTCAGCTCTGCACTGGAATTCACTGGGAATTCTCCCAACTCTCCCCATTCCAGGGCTGCCTTCCCACCCTCAGCACGAGGTGATAAAGAAGCAGTGCACAGGCTGTCCTGGGATGGTCACCTTCTACATCAAAGGGAACATCAAAAATGCCTCTGCCTTCCTCAGGAAACTGAAGGTAAAATAAAGACAATAAAGTCACCCTCAGAGGGAGCTGTAATTGCCCTGCTGAGGGGAGGGTGAAGTGCCTTTTCTTGCCAAGTGCTTTGGCTGTGCCCCACTCTAAATCAGGGATAATTAATCCATGGAGTTAATGAGAGGGAACAAAGGGACACCTCAGCCCCTTGGAAGTGTTTGTTTGTTTGCTCCCAGGTGAGGCGTGTCCAGGTGAGCCCAGGAGCTGCTGCTGCTGGCAAAGGGCTCCTGCAGGGTGGGGAGCTGGGGCAGCTCTGCTGGAGCAGTGCAGAGTGCCCTCAGGAGGGAAAGGCACTTGTGGGGCAGAGAGGGAGCCCCTGGCTCTGGGAATGCTTGGCTGGGTCCTTGGCCCAGCCTGTGCCGTTGTTTGGCCAGGTGTTCACTCCCACTGTGCCCTGGGAGGTGTTTGTGTCCTGAGCCCACTCCTGATAACTCCTTTCCCTTTCTGCCATAGGTGTTTACCTTGGCTGAGAGTCTGGGTGGCTACGAGAGCCTGGCAGAGCATCCGTAAGTTCATCCTCAGAGCCTCAAAAAGCTGCAGAGCACCACAGAATTCCCACAATTTCCCAGCCCCCAAAGCTGTTTTGCTGTTTTGCCTGTAGCAGAACTCGGGGACAGTTGTGCAGCACAAAGCCAGGGGAGATTCCAGAGGGAGGGAATCTGTGAGAGTGCAGAGACAGAGGAGTTTTGCCTGGAGGGCTGAGGCACAGCTGGTGTCCATGAAGACAATCCCAGAAGCTGCAGAGTGTTGGGATGAGGAGCAGCTGGCATTGAGGAATGCCCAGCTCCCTGCTCTCACCAGGGGCACGGTCACTGTGTGCACCCAGCTGCCTCTGGTCCCTGGCAGGGCCTCCTGGGTGTTTTAAACTGCTCAAAATAGCATCTTCATGGAATTGCATTATTTTACTCAAAGCCAGTTTGCTTTTTGAACACGTCCATGGAAATTAGTGACTCTATTTAAGTGTTAAATCATTTCACTTCATGATTTCACAGCAAAACCTGAACCCCTCCAGCAGCTGGAAGGAACTGGTGCCAGTGGCAGAGCACATGGGGAAATCCCTTCTTGCCTGTGTCCTCTGCAGCTGGAGAGAACAAACCCTCCAGAGTCCTTTGGGACAGTTTGAGAAGGGATCTGAGGAACCAGAAGTGAAACCAGGAGATTTTATCCTGGAGGTTGCACATTCCCCGCATGCAGAGCTTACAGAGCTTCTGTGGAATAAAAGAACAGCTCTGGAAGGAAGAGGGATAGGATTGTCTCCTTTGTCTGGTCCAGATTTTTAAGTAGCCACTTCTTGTTAATCATTTTGTCTTGGAAATGCATCCTGGAGATGCAATTCCCTGACTTGTCAGCATTCCCACCATTTCCAGGAGCTGCTGCCAGGAGCTCTTTGCATCTGTGGGGTCACACAAGAGGCACAGAGGAGGTGTCAGGTCCTGCTGCCATTCCAGGGGTGCTGACAGGGAACCAGCTGGGCTGGTTTTACCAATAAAAGTCCCAAATTCTTGGGATAAAGATGTTTTTTGTCCTTGCAGGGCCATCATGACCCACGCCTCAGTGCCTGAGAAGGAAAGGGAAAAGCTGGGAATCACTGACACCTTGATCCGCCTCTCGGTGGGGCTGGAGGATGAGGAGGATTTGCTGGGAGACCTGGACCAGGCCCTGGAGGCTGCGGTGAGTGGGGAGTTCCCTCCAACAACAATCCAACAGCAATCCCAGCCAGCCCTTCCCAGGGGCTGAGCCTGATGGAGCCTGGGCTGGGGATGGAAAACTCCCTGTTTGCAGCCCTGCTCAGGCACAGTTACCAGGGATTCAGGAGAATATGGGTGTGCCAGGCACAGTTCCCCATGGATTCAGGAGCAGTTGGGGTGTGCCAGGCACAGTTCCCATGGATTCAGGAGAATATGGGTGTGCCAGGCACAGTTCCCCATGGATTCAGGAGCAGTTGGGGTGTGCCAGGCACAGTTCCCCATGGATTCAGGAGAATTGGGATGTGCCAGGCACAGTTCCCCATGGATTCAGGAGAATTGGGGTGTGCCAGGCACAGTCCCCACGGATTCAGGAGAATTGGGGTGTGCCAGGCACAGTTCCCATGGATTCAGGAGAATTGGGGTGTGCCAGGCACAGTCCCCACAGATTCAGGAGCAGCTGGGGTGTGCCAGGCACAGTTCCCCATGGATTCAGGAGAATTGGGGTGTGCCAGGCACAGTTCCCCAGGGATTCAGGAGAATATGGGTGTGCCAGGCACAGTTCCCCATGGATTCAGGAGCAGTTGGGGTGTGCCAGGCACAGTTCCCCAGGGATTCAGGCGAATTGGGATGTGCCAGGCACAGTTCCCCAGGGATTCAGGAGAATTGGGGTGTGCCAGGCACAGTTCCCATGGATTCAGGAGAATTGGGGTGTGCCAGGCACAGTCCCCATGGATTCAGGAGAATTGGGGTGTGCCAGGCACAGTTCCCCAGGGATTCAGGAGAATTGGGGTGTGCCAGGCACAGTTCCCAGGGATTCAGGCAACTCAAATGCTAAAATGTGACTGTAATTTATGCAAAGGAAAATAAAAATGTGTGGTTGGTAGAGGGGCAGAGCACAATGATCCCTCCCTTTCCTTCCTGCAGTTTGCATAAACCCTGAGGGTCGAGAAGGAACTTGGAACTGGACATGGCTGTGGATGAGGACACGAAAACCAAACCACTCTTGCTTTGCCTTTGGGAATTGCAGCCGGGGTTTCTGGGGCTCTCCCGGGCTGGGCAGGGCGTGCTGGCACAGCCTGGGCTCTCCCTGCCCGTGTCTGGAGCCAGGAGCTGGGTGGGAGCAGCCGTGGGCACCCCGGGAATGTGCTCCCAGTTCTCCCAGCAGAGCTCAGTGCTCCTGCTGCTCCTGCAGGGTTTGGGCACTGGGGCTGCTTCTGGTACTGCTCTCAGATGATTCTCTTCTCACCCGTCAGCTCAGCTCAAAAACTTGGGTGGGCTCAGATTTATTTTAATTAAGTTAGAAATTTGCCTAAGAGCTTTTTCTTCTCTTGATGTTTTATTGAAAATGAAGTGAAATCCAACACCTGGTAAATAATAACTTTCTAAAGAGGAGCTTTTGTCTCTTAAGAAAAAATCATGGGCTGTGAGTGAATAATTTTAATTAAAACACATTTTTCCTTTCGTTGCTTGTCTTTCCATGTGCACATGCTCGTTGTGTTCAAAATCAGGTCATGGAGTGACCGTGGAGCTGTTGGGATTTTCCTGTGGGAAGGCAGGAGGGGATGGAGCAGAGGAAAGGCTGGAGCTGAGGCAGGACACTTCTGTACTGGCCACTCCCAGAATAACCTTCATTGCACAGAGGGATTAAATCCTGACAAAACCAAAGTGAAGGTGATCCCTCCCCCCTAACCCTCCTCATTCCACAGCATCCCAGACTGCTCCGGGTGGGAATGGATCTCGAAGCCCACCCAGTGCCACCCCCTCAGGAGCAGCTCTGGCAGGAGGCGGGGCCAGCTGTCCCAGCCCGTTAATGACTGTTAACGAGCTGGGGTTGATGAATTTTGTCATTTCTGTCAATCACACCGGGGTAATTAGGTAATTACCCGCCCTGACGGTGCCTGGGGCGGACTCGAACCCGCGGCCCGCCCTGCCGCGTGACGTCACGCGCGCGTGCGCCGCTCTCGGCCAATCAGCGGCCGGCGGCGGATTCGAACGGCGGGGCGGCGGCGCGGCCGTTGTGCGCGCGGCGGGGCCGGCAGGGGGCGCTGCGCTGCCCGCTGAGGGCGCCATGGCCGGGCCGGGACCGGCACCGGGGCCGTGCCCGGGGCTGTACCCGGGGCCGTACCGCGCCACGAGGCTGGTGAGCACCGCGCGGGGCTGCCGCGGCACCGGGGGCGCGACTGCTGCGGGGGGAGCGGGGCGCCCGTGGCACCCGTGCGAGCGCTGCGCGACGGGAGGTGGCTCTGCCCCTCGGGACTGCTGTCGCGACAGAGGGGCGCTTGGGGACAGCTGGGTGCCCCGGGACCCCCTACCTGCTGTCGTGACCGTGCTCAGGGACACTCGCTGTCGCGACACGCGGGTGCCTGGCGCCCTTCTGCCCCGTGTCCGTTTTCTCGGTACGCGGGTGCCCGGGGACGCCCCGCGCGCTGTCGCGACATCGACTGCTCAGGGACACCCTGCAACCCCCCCTCCCCCGCGCTCTGTCGCGACATAGGGTGCCCTGGGACCCCCCATACCTTCACGACATGGCGGTACCTCACCCCCCCCCTCCCCGCCCTGTGTCCCGGTAATATCGCTGCCCTGCTGTCGCGACACGGTGGGTGTCACGACACGCGGGCGCCGCAACTCCCGTGGCCGCTCCGTGTCCCCGCAGTGGAACGAGGTGACGCGGCGCTTCCGCGCGGGGATGCCCCTGCGGCGGCACCGGCAGCGCCTCCGCTCGCACGGCAGCTGCTTCACGGCCGCCGAGGCCGCGGACTGGCTGCACCCGGTGCTCCGCAGCAACAGCAGCTTCGGGCCCGACGTCACCCGGCAGCAAACCGTGCAGCTCCTGCGCAAGTTCCTCAAGAACCACGTCATCGAGGACATCAAGGGCCGCTGGGGCGCAGAAAACCTGGAGGATAACGGTGCCCTGTACAGGTACTGAGCTGAAAGTGATCCCCTGTGGTGCTGGGAAAAACGCCCACCACTTGGGGTTTTAAATGTTAAATGTTTAGTAATAATAAAATGGTTGTAAAAATAACAATACAGTTAGAGTTAGGACAATTACAAGACAATAAAAAGCAAAGAATTACACCTGTCCAGATGCTCTCGGACACTAAGTCACGAAAAGCATCCCTTGTGAACAAAGGAATCACCCTTAAAACAATACACTTGTTGCATATTCATAGATCCGTCATGGTTATGCATGCATTCTATTTAAAACAAGAAACTCTGTTGTACGTCAGCTGTTTCCTTTTATCCCCACTGCTCTTTGAGTCTGAGCAAGGCCTGAAGAAATCAGCTTCTTCTGATAAAAAGCCATAAATTCCTCTCCTTTGGAAGATTGAGGTGTTCCTCAAAGCGAGTATCTCATTCCTAAAAAAAAAAAACTTCCCCCACATACACAGTCTCTATTTTAACATTATATTGGAACCTAAAACTACATTTAACACACTACTTAAGAGAATTAATACAGCATCACTTTCTAACATTACACATATAATATTCATTGTAATATTTGCAAAAAGCCAATCATAAAATATGCATTTTTCACAACTGCCCTGGTTTTTAAAAGCGTTTTCTTTTATAGTTCTTTTGAAAGTTTTAAAGTTATTTTAAAAGTTTGCCATGCCTTCTGATGTTTGCATATCTCTACTGGAGTTCTCAGGCACTGTTGATGTAAATAATGATTGTTTTGCATTCTTCGTTGTGGGAGGAGAGAATTGATGGGCTGTTGGTTTAACCAGTGTGGTTGGAAAAGTAACAATTCCATCCTCCAATCCACTGTCACTTTTGGAACTCTATATATTGCGAGGTCAGAAATAAAATTTGCTCTTTTTCTCTTTTGAACTTACCAAGCTTCTGTGTGCTCATTTAGTGTCCAAATGCGACTCTCAGGTTGAGGGTTTTAGTGGAAAATGCTCAGATTTGCAAAAAGAGCTTCCTTTGGCTTAAACATCTTGGTTAAAAAGTTAATTATTAGGCTAATTTTGCTCCTCTGAGTGTTTTACTTCACTCCCGTGTGTGTCCATCCGAGGTTTTTGCTGGAATTCAGACCTCACTGCAGTGCTTTGGAGTGAAGCCATGGGGTTTTGTGGGAGCTGCCTGCTGGGTTTGCTTCTCCTGGGCCCTTTACACAAGGTCCGAGTGGGAAACGGAGCCAAGCTCTGAAATCAAAGGTATTCATGGTCCCCACTGCTCACATTCTGGGCTCAGGCTGTGCCAATGTCTTCAGCTTGACTTTGGCATCAAGAAAAGCAGCCTAAAGCTAATTTATCATATGATAAATTAAAAAAAAATTCCTTTTTTTAGTGAATCTAACAGAGTCATGCTGGTACGGAGTCAGAGGTTTTGTTTTGTCAAGTAGTTGATTTGATTACAGATTAATTAGGAATGTATTTAACATCTCTTCCATTCATTACAGATTTCCTCCAACCTCTCCAGTCAAACCTCTACCAAGCCCACCAAGGGAGAACTTGGAAAACTTCTCTGGAGACAAAGGAAAACTTTTTAAGCTGCCCAGCTCATCCAAAAGGGGTTTGAAAAAACAGGAGTTCCTGCAGTCTGTGGTAATAACTTCTGTTCCTCACAGCATTGCAGTTGGCTTGCATTGTCTTTATTCTTTAAAATTTACTGACACTGCTCTGTTGTGGCATCTTCCCTGAAGAAAGAATAGTTCAGACTTAAGGAATTCAGAAATATTAAGAAAAAATTTTATATGACAAGGGGTTTTATTTTGTTTTGGGTTTTCTTTGTTTTGTCTGAGTGGAGAATTATCCCTGCTAAGGGATTTTAAAGTATTGGGAGGGCTGGAAGATGAAGAGGTGAAGTCCTAGAAATGATCTGCACAACATGGCCTTGTTGAAATTTAATTTGTCTTTGGGGGAAAAATAAGAGGCACAAATAATTTAGTTTGTCATCTTTTTGGAGAAGATGGAATATGTGTGTGGCCCTTGATTCAGCTGAGATTGGCGTGCATAAATTCTGAATTTAGGTTCCAGTCCTAAAGGAGGATAATTCACATATTAATACATCTGGATTTACCTTTTAAATTGCTGACTTTGAATTGATGAGCATTTTCTTCCCTTTCTTTTTAGTTGTGTGCTCCCATTTCATCACTGAGGCTGCAGGTTTCCCCCCGGCTCGTGTGGAATTTAATGTTCCACAGAATGCCCTATTCTTCTAATTCCAATTTTCTCTAATTTTTAATTGCCTTAAGCAGCTTGTTTATCTTACAGTATCAACCACTCATTTTCAGGAAAACATAACAAGACCAAAAGCTGATGTAAGAGGAGAAAAGAAGGAAGGCACAGTGCAGAGGAGGGAAATAAGCCAGGAATACGTGCAGGAAACATGGAGAAACATCATCCAGATACAGTGAGTGAGGAATTCACACAGCACCTTCTCCTTCAGTGGGAAATAGCCCAAGCCAGCTTTCACCATTTGGTTTTCATTGTTAATTGTTTTAAGCTGAATTTTTTCCTGTTGTTTACACAGGTTTTCTAATCTGTTTATGAACTTTGGATTGTTGCATTTAAGGAATTTCTGATCACGTGCTGGTGCAGAAATATATTTTAAGCACCTCAGGTGTTCCTCCTTGCCGATTGTTGCTGTTTGTCCCAGAGAAAAGTGTCCCCAGTTGTCCTCCTGGAAGTGAGAAGTTCTCCAGCAGCACTTTAGCTCAGCCAGAGTTTTGGAATAGATATGGGAAGAACTTGTTTTCCTTCATCCCTTGCAAATCTCTGCTCTCTTCCTGCCCAGCTTGCAAACCATTCTGGGACTGCCCTCGTTGGAGGAGGTTCTGCAGCCAGCCCAGATCATCCCTGAGTTTGTCACGTACAACATGAGCAACACCAGCAAACACGGGGTGGTGATCCTGCAGGACAAAGCAGGTGACATTTATCTCCCTAGATTTGCTCTAAAATCGTTATTTATGAGTAATAATTAATCTCTTTCACAGTGTGTTGTTTACTCTTTGTTCCCAAACCACAGCACAGCTCAGGGACCTTAAATCCCATCCCCCCTGCCATGGCAGGGACCTTCCCCTGTCCCAGGCTGCTCCAGCCTGGCCTTGGGCACTGCCAGGATCCAGGGGCAGCCTCAGCTGCTCTGGGAATTCCATCCCAGCCAAAACTTCCTTCCCAATATCCCATCTAACCCTGCCCACCTTCAGCTTGAAATTATTCCCCTTTATCCTCTCAAAATTACACGTAGAGCAGTATTTAAAATCAGTTTTAAATTTAATATGTTGTGCTTTAGGTGTTATTTAAGATGTGTGAGCCGTTATTAGTTGTTAATTATTTGGGCTCATGTCTGAATGGTGCATTTATCTGTTTGGATTTCAGAAGACCTCCCTCACTGGGTGCTGTCAGCCATGAAGTGCTTGGCCTACTGTAAGTCACTGAAGAGCTTTCAAGTTCCAGAAGCCTCTTTTGAGAGTTGAAAGGGAAACATTTGTGTGTGTGAAATCAGCTGTGATGTTTCAGTTCAGAGACCTGGGGGTGGTTTCCTCTGATGCAGTTTTTCAGGAGTGAAAGGGACTTTGCTTTTCCAGTCCCTGCCTTTCAGCTGGACCAAAACATTTCCTACACTTCATATTAAACTGGGGAGATGCGTTTTCTTTGGTTTGTAAACAATCAACTCTAAATTAATTAGATGAGTGCCTCTCTAATGAAACCAGAGATAATGAGCTTTTTTTTTCCCATGTGCTGAGCTTCCTTTTGCTCAGGGAGCTTGAGCTCCCTGTGGGAGAACTGTGCTTTGGAAATGAAGGGACATGCTAAGAGTGGGTGATTGTTTTGCTGAGGAACCTCTAAAGACCACAGATTATTTTTTATTTATTTTCTTGATGTGGAACAGAACTGAGCACAGCTCCTCAGTGGCTGCCTGGAATCTCTTACACCACTTTTGCTCACAAATTGTGCCAAATACAATATTTGTGGATTGCTGATAGGATTCTTTGCTTGAGAAACAAGAATAAATTTAGGCTGGTCTTCAAAAATGTATTTTCTAATGGGACTGTGGATTTTTGGTGTGAATTTCCTTTATTCCCCTCTTTTCAGGGCCCAGGAACAATGACATGAGCCAAGCCACCTACAGTGGCTTTGAGCGGGACGTGTTCAGAACAGTTGCTGATTATTTTCTCAGTCTCCCTGAGCCATTGCTTACTTTTGAATACTATGAGCTCTTTGTTAATACCTTAGGTATGTATGAATTTAGAAACAGTCAGGGAAGCTCTGAGTTCAGATCAGCTGGGGGACAAATGGGTGATTCAAAGCAGAGCTTGGGCCTCTGATGTGTGTGGGAGCTCCAATCTGAGGAGGATCATCACTGCTCCATTCTGTATTAGTGTTAATTAAAATGTACTTCTGTCTCACGATTTCCCATTTAAATTGCTGTTTCAGCTCACATTCTAAATATTCAGTAACAAAAACTTCAAAAGATGTGCTTGTTCTGCTTGCTCCTCACTGCTGCAGTGTTACCTGTCTTTGTTCTTGCATGTTAAATTGCTTTGGGACTGAACTAAAGCTTTCTTAATTAATATCTTAATTAATATCTTGACTTTGTTGTCTGTCTGCCCAGTTAGCAGCTCTCTGAACTGGTTCATTTTCATACCACTTGCATCTTTAACATCTCTTTCATTTCCTGATAGTTTTGTGTGGCTGCATCCAAATTCCTGATCTGGGCAGTGGAAATCGTTCTGTCCAAGAGGAGAAATGTGACCCTCAGCCTTCAAAACCTCCTCACTTGAACTCTTTCAAGTCCACTGAGTGTCTTCCCCTAAGCCTGCTCCTCAAAGAGTCTGACAAGAAGGAGAAAGGAGAAGCTTCCAGGAGGTTTTCCTCAGAGGAGCTGAGAGCCCAAAACCAGCACAGGAGGAAATGGCAGCAGCACAAACTGCCACGCCAGCAAGGGAGTGCTGGCAACCTGATAGGAGGGAGCTGCCAGAATCTTGCAGCATCCAGGAATGACCAAGAGCCACCTGGAGCATTTAGGACAAGGTGTTACTCCTTGGAAAGAGTTGGAGCTGCTGCTTCAAGTGTGTGTGGTAAAGGAGGAGGTGTGAGCACCAGCAGGAGGAGCGGAGAGCTGCTGGAGGAGCACAGAGTGAACTCGGTGCTGGGGCTGGGCTGGGACAGCTCAGGTCCAGCCCAGGGCCTCAGGGGAGTGCCTGGCCCGTGTCCCTGGGCTGAGGAGCCGTGGGGTGGCAGCCACGGGTCCCTGAGGCTGCTGGGCAGGAGGAGCTGCAGGAGCTGCAGTGCCATCAACAGACCCAGTGCTGAGATCACAGTGCAGCCCCTGCCCCGGGGGCAGGGCACACCCAGCCCCTCTGTGGCCATCAGCGTCCGAAAGAGACTCTGCAGGAGCAGCACAGACCTGTCAGGACGCTCTGTCCCCCCCTCCCCTTGTGTGTTGGTTGGCACAAGTAAGGGCTCTCTGCAGCATGCTGTACTGCCTTGTTGTGTGGCCTCACTAATCCCTGCTTCCCTCACCTCTGCCACTCTTGCTAGCTTGGTGGATAGGCACAGAGCGTGGGTTTGTGGGGTTTGTAAAGAAAATCTGCTGGCTAAATTGTTTAAACTGCTGTAGCTCTGCTAACAGTGTGTGCAGTATTGGAGTACGAGCTCAGTGTGTCAGTAATTGGTCTTTCTGCTCAGGTAAGTGATGGGGACGGGGAATCTGCACACTCCTGCCTGTTAGCGATGTCTTTTTCTGTTCTGTAAATCAGTATTTTCTGGAAATACTTCTGGGAATAATTAGTGTCATTCCTTAATTGTGTTGTGGTCCTAATTGCACCATAGTGAAGGAAGTTGAAGATGACCACACCATATTCTGTATATTCTCTTCTGTGTTACAGCTGATTTCTCTGAAACAAATAATCACACTGAAAAATAAGAATTCTGTGATACTGAAGTAAAAGCATGCTGGGAGCTGGTTCAAATCGTCATGCCAGTTCTCTGTTGTTAACTTGCAGATCTCCTGCAGCCTCACCTGGAGAGAATCGCAGTGGAGGCGCTGCAGATCTGCTGTTTGCTGCTGCCCCCGCCGAGGCGCAGGAAGCTGCAGCTGCTGCTGAGGATGGTGGCCAGGATCAGTGGCAACGTGGACATGCCACGGCTGCACGATGCCATGGGCAACAGGTCCTTGGTAAGGGCAGGGAAAGCTCTTCCTAAAAGGATGCAGATGATTCCTCAGCCCGAATTCCCACCCAGCTGCTATTTAGAATCCCAGACTGGACTGGGTTGGGAGGGACCTTAAAGCCCATTTCACTCCAGTTTAATCCTGGTGCGCATTAGGGCTGGGCTAGGTTGGCTCTGCAGGTTTTAATCACCTCACTCATCTCAAGATGACCAATTGAAGATCCAGGTTTAGATCAGAAGTAGGAAGAAATTGTTTATTCAGAGGGTGGGCAGCCCTGGCACAGGGTGCCCAGAGCAGCTGTGGCTACTCCTGCATCCCTGGCAGTGCCCAAGGCCAGGCTGGACAGGGCTTGGAGCACCTGTCTCTGCCTCAGCCCAAACCATTCCAGGATTCTATTCTACAGTTTTGTGAAAATGTTAATTTTTCTATAGGTTAAGCCTTTTTCTGCTACTTTTTTACATTATGTATTTTTTAATTTAAAGTGCTGTTCAGTTCCAAAGAAATTAAGTCAGATAAGGGAACAATGATGACTTTTCCTGCTTGTGTGACCACATTTGGAAGTTGGCTATGGGGGATTTGAGCCACTGTAGAGTGGAGAGGAGAAGATAAATCCCCCAGCTTTCTCCAGTGCAGCTGTGCTGAACTTTTCCAGCTGATCCAGACGTTTTCCCGCTGTGTCCTGCGCTGTGCAGAGGAGGAAGACCTGGATGAGCTGCTTTCCACACGCCTGCTTTCCTTCCTGATGGACCATCAGCAGGAAATATTCCAAGTCCCAGTTTACCTGCAGGTTGCTGTGCAGGATCACCTCAAGTACATGGAGAAGGCTCAGGTTGGTGCCATGAGAGCAGTTCAGATTCATTTGTTAATTGCTTCTTGTGAAGTTGGGGAAATGCAAATGAACCCAGGACATTTTGAATGTGTAGATATTATAATGTTTTGCAGCTTGTGAATGGGTGTGGGTGTTTATTAGGTACTTACTCAAACAGTGCAGAATCAGTTGAGTGCATGCAGAGCCCTTTTTCTTCCAGTGCAAACAGGAAAAAGAAGAAATTTGTGCCATCTTGCCAACGTATTCCTACTGCAAACAAATCACTCCTCAGGAGTTTGAAGAACAGAAGGTCTCCACCTCACAGGCTGCAGTGGCAGAGCTCCTGGAGAACATCATCAAGGATAAAAACCTCTCTGTGAAAGACAAAAAGAAAAAGTTGAAACAGGTGAGTTCATTTCATCTGCTTCTGCAGTGCCTTTGTGAGGGAAGGGCCCATGCAGGAGAGGAGCAGAATGTGCTGAGAAATGTTTGTGCTCAAAAGCTGTCAAGAGCTCATGTGTTCTGCTTGGGATCTGAAAGATGGTTTTTAATGCTGCATCCTCTGGAGCCAGGCTGGGAGAGCTGGGGGGGCTCCCCTGGAGAGGAGAAGGATCCAGGGAGAGCTCAGAGCCCCTGGCAGGGCCTGCAGAGGGACTGGGGACAAGGATGGAGGGACAGGACACAGGGAATGGCTTCACTGCCAGAGGGCAGGGATGGATGGGGTATTGGGAATCAGGAATTCTTCCCTGGCATGGTGGGCAGGCCCTGGCACAGCAATAATTTTTGGCTTTAAGAGACCAAACTCTCTCTGTTGAGAATCCTGAAACATTCTTTTGGTGGCCTTGGCTTTGTGTTTTGTAACATTTACAGTGCTCAAGATTATCTTGCACTTCTCTGGCCTACCAACAACTTGCCTAATAGAAAGGTTAAAACACAGCAGTTCTGGCAGGATTTAATCCTGGAGGGTTTTTCTTTCTTTTGGCAAGTCTTTATGCCCAATGGAATAGTTTTGTACTTGTCCTGGAATCTCCTAAGCAAGTCTTGTGACTCCCGTTTGAACAAGCAGCTTTTCAGGACAGCCACACTTGGCTTTGGTGCCCCTCCTGCAGCTCTGACTTCCATGTGTCGTGGAAACTTTCTGGGCCTCTAAAAGTGAGTCTGGTTTGGTTAATCAGAACTTCTGAATCTAAGAATTGTTGCTTACAGTTGATTAAGGCTTGGAGTAAGTGAGGAGTAAGAAGTGATTCACAGCAGCACGGGGAAGGGGAGGAAGGAAATGGGGGCCCAAAAATGATCCCAGGACTGGAGGTGCCTTAGCACAAGAATGGACACTGCCCTGGGCCTGCTGGACATGTTCTTGATGGGAATTCTTGGGAAAAGCCAAATTCATGGCACTTTCCAGAGCGTAAGGAAGGTCCCAGTTGTGTCAACACCAGAAGTTACAAAGGTGGTTTGAATCCATCAGTGGAAAGGTTTGCCTCATGTTCAGATGTATTTACAGTTTTTCATCCTTTCCTGAGGCTTTGCAAGGGAAATGGGCACCATGTCCAAATCACTGCTCTGGTTCCAGGTGTTTTCATTTCCATGGAATCATTGCTAAGCTTTCCTGGGAGAACCCTTCCAAAGCAGGCTGAATCTTGGCTCCCCGTGGGGTAAAACAGTTTATCCAGGGAGTTCCTGGAAGGAGCTCACAGCAGGCATGGAGTGTGCTCTGGCACAGCTGGAGTTCTGGGGGGATCTGGGGTTTCTCCTCACTGGTGCCTGTGTGTGCTGCAGTTCCAGAAGGAATATCCCCAGATCTACGGGAGCAGGTTCCCGAGGACGGAGGCGGAAGCGCAGCTCCTGGAGAACAAACCCACCCTCAAACAGCCCCTGCTGAGCCTCAGGAAACCCAAATTCCGCAGCCTCAGGTACTGATTTCAGCACACCTGAGCCAGCTCTCCCTGCTGGAAGCCTGAGGGATTCACCAAAGGAATTGCTGCAGGAGTCTGGTGCTGGCTGCGCTGTGGAAGGAGGAAGTGTTTACATGGACTTGTGCTGGAAGGTGCCAAAATACCTTTTTCTGGTGCAGATACATTGGAATGACTTCTAAAAGAAAAATATTTATCTGTTTACAAATTATTACAGTATATTGGAATAGGAAAATGTGAAAATACACAAAAAGCTGTTGTTAACCAAAAATTTATATATGGTTTTTTATGAGAAACTAATGACCTGCCTCTTGTTACAACCTTTAAATGTCTGTTCAGGAATTTGTGCCATTCATTGTAGTTTTACATGTGTGTGTGTTGTGACCAAGTGCCTTTTCCATTCTCAAAATGTTTGTCTTTAAACAAAGGAGCTTCTATGAGTTCAGGACCAGGAGAGCCAGTTCACCATAAATAAATTATTATCTCACTCCATAAATGCTTCTGTTCATATAATCTGTAAAACCCTCATCAGCTTTTTTATATTTATTTATATTAAAAGACTTGATGTGTATTTCTGACATTTTCATGGAAAATTCATTTTGAATCTGTTGATGTGATTCTCAAAATAGGAGTGATGGATGATCTGTGAAGTGAGAGTAATACACTAATTTTCCCTATTTTTTCCAGACTTGGGGATTTGCTTATTAATTAAGATAAAGGTTCCTGCACAGGAGTTTAAAACTGCAGGAATATATTTGGGAAAGATAATTAATAATAATTAATCTACTGCATGGCTCTGAGATCACCGAGTGGTTTGGGTTGGGAGGGACCTTAAAGCCCCTCCAGTGCCACCCCTGCCATGGCAGGGACACCTTCCTCCATCCCAGGCTGCTCCAGCCTGGCCTTGGGCACTGCAGCTGCTCTGGGCACCTGTGCCAGGGCCTGCCCACCCTCCCAGCCTGGAATTCTTTGGTACATCTGTGATCCTGAGCCTGTCACTTCTCTCCCAAAAAGATACAAATTTTCTCCTTTTTTAAAAAAGATTTTGTAAATGAGAAACCCGAATTAGCCTAATTTTACCCTGTATTAATGGTGCCTTAATGCCCTGAGGGTAACTTTGTGCTTTCAGGGCAGGGGGCAGCTGTTCCTCCCCTGGAACATCTGTAACCAGCCTCCTCCAGCACTCAGCACCTGCCTGAATTTGCTTCCAGGGCTTCCTACCCCATTCCATGTTGCATAAATGCTTTGTTTATGTGGTGTTCCAGTTAAGTAACTTAGTAGGTGAGAAGCTCACATTTCCCAGGATTTGGCTTTCAGAGGCCTGCCCTCATTACTCCCAGTTCTTGATCCAGGTTATTTAATGTTCCCTTCTAAGGTTTTGATAGAATTTGACCAAAATGGGAATAAATAGAGAAATTATAATTATGGTCCTTCAATGCAAAGGGTTAATGGGAGATCTCAGTGCAGTATCCTGGTTTTTCTGTGAGAAGCCTTAAATGAGCCCTTGTCCAAGTGGAAACACTGCCTTGAAAGAGGGAGCAGGCAAACAACAGCAGGGAGAGAATCCAACCCTCACGTGCTGGTTGTGGCAGAAATGCAGCAGAGGGTGTTTAATGTCTCTTTTTGTGCCTTCAACCCCAGTTTGGGTCCCTGGAGCTGTTTCTCACTCCTCTCTGGGCTTTTTTTCTTTGTAATCACTTCTGCTCGGGAAGAATTTAGGTCTCAGAAAAACAGTGAAAGCCCCTTTTTGTGTGAACAGCAGGACAAAAGCTCCCAAAGCCCAGGGAGGATTTTGGTGCTGAAAGCCGGCTCTGTTCCCGGGGTGCTCTCATTGGTGGGGGCTGTTTTGGGATGGGGCTGCCCTGGGCAGGGCTCAGCACCCCATAAATACCCAGCACAGCTCTGGCTCCGTGCTTGGCTCTGGAGGCTCGGGCCCTTCATCACGGAGGATGTACAGCCAGTGAGTATTCCTGAGGCTCCTCGCTGTGGGAGCACATCCCAGGAGCAGCATTGGCTGGGGGGCAGCAGGGTTTGGAGGGGAGGAGAAGTGGGGAGGTCTCCATGTCCTCATCCCACATCCCATGCCAAGGTGTGGTTCTGGTCTGGAGAAACAGGTTCCAGAGGATTGACCAGAATGTGGAGTAAAATAATGGAATCCCAGACTGGTTTGAGTTGGGAGGGATCTCAAAGCCCCTCCAGTGCCACCCCTGCCATGGCAGGGACACCTCCCACTGTCCCAGGCTGCTCCAGCCCCAGTGTCCAACCTGGCCGTGGACATTCCAGGGATCCAGGGGCAGCCACAGCTTCTCTGGGCAGAGTTCATCAGCCTGTGCCTGGTGTGTCTTCATGGGCTTTGCAGCAGATAAAATTGGAACCCAACAAATAATTATTTGCTTAAAAAAAAATTAAAAAGGCTTTTCTAAGAGCTGGGAGATACAAGCTGGATTTTGCTCTCTGATGAGCTGGGTGTCCTGGTTTGTGCGCTCAGTGTCCCTGTCCCTCCTCGTGCCCAGGACAGTTCTCAGCAGCTGTTTGGAGTCTCAGAGCCTTTCCTCATGGAAAGGTGCTTCTTCCTCCCTCAAGTTCTTTGCAAGTCATGGATCATTCCGTGCAGAAAGATCCATCCCTCCCTGGGAGGGGGCTCCCAGCTGTGCCCCTGCCCCGGGCTCACCCGCTGTGCCCTTTCAGGGTGGAGCATCCTGCTGGAGGCTACAAGAAGCTCTTTGAGACGGCGGAGGAGCTGTCCTCTCCAGTGACTGCCCACGTCACAGGTCAGTCTGGGGCCCCATCTCCTCCTGCAGCTCGGGGGCTTCCAGGGCTCAGAGGCTTTACAAGGCTGGCTGTGAAGGAGCTCACAGAGCTGGTGATTTGGGGTAGAGAAAGGTCAGATTGGGTGGGGAACTCTTTAGACATTTCAATACTGAATGTCTTGGTCCACAGCAGGTGTGAAGAAATCAGAGCTTGAAGAGCTCATGTGTGTTTAAACACTAAGTTTAATTAGCAAATGAGATGAAGTTTTGATTTTCTTGCTGTGACAATAAAAATTCCTTGGTCTGATTTGCCATGTCCATCCCAATGCTGGTCTCCCACAGGTAGAATTCCCACCTGGCTGAGAGGAAGCCTCCTGAGATGTGGTCCTGGCTTGTTCGAGGTGGGCTCGGAGCCCTTCTACCACCTCTTTGATGGCCAGGCACTGCTCCACAAGTTCGACTTCAAGGAGGGGCACGTCACCTACCACCGAAGGTACCTGCCAGTTTTCCAAGGAAAAGGAATGAATAAGGAAGCATTTGCTCGTCTGAAATGCTGGGAACAGGCTGTGCCTGTGGGAGATCCTGGTTGTTTTGAGTCCATGTGGTTATTGGAAGAGCTGTAGCAGTGATATCATTAAACCCAGCTCCAGATGCAACGTGAGGTCCTGGAGAGCTCCCAGAGCTCTCGTGAGGTTCCTCAATGGATATTTGTATTTATTGCACAGCCTGGTGTCAGGTGTAACAGGCTTTCCCCTCCTGGCCCCCAGGTTTGTCCGGACCGACGCCTACGTGCGAGCCATGACGGAGAAGAGGATCGTGATAACGGAGTTTGGCACCTACGCCTACCCAGACCCCTGCAAGAACATCTTCTCCAGGTACCTCGGCGTGCTGCGGACATTGCTGGGATGTCCTAGGGAATTTCTGCTCCCCCAGGAGCCCCTGACTGCCTGTTGGTTTTCTCTGCTCAGGTTTTTCACCTACTTCAAAGGTGTGGAGGTGACGGATAACGCCCTGGTGAATGTTTACCCTGTGGGTGAGGATTACTATGCCTGTACGGAGACCAACTTCATCACCAGGATTAACCCAGACACCCTGGAGACCATCAAGCAGGTGGGTCTTTGTCCTGGGCAGACAGAGGTGTGGGAAAGGAAGTAACTAAAATGAAATTCATGGACTCATAGAATTAATTGAGTTGGCAGGGATCTTAAAGCCCATCCAGTGCCATGGCAGGGACACCTCCCACTGTCCCAGGTGGCTCCAAGCCCCAATGTCCAGCCTGGGATCCAGGGCCAGCCACAGCTGCTCTGTGGGCCTGCCCATCCTCACAGATATTCTTCCCAATATCCCATCTAACTCTAAATATCCTGCCCCTCCATCCCTTGTCTCTCTCCAGCTCTCCTGGAGCCCCTTTAGGCACTGGAAGGGTCCCCCCTGAACCTTCTCCTCCCCAGGCTGAACACCCCCAGCTCTCCCATGGCAGAGGGAGCATCTTCAAGTTAGGGCTGGAGTTTGCAAATCAGAGCTCAATTGCAGACTTTGAGAGGATCTTCTCACATGCAGAGCAAGGATGTATTGGCTCACAACACCTTGCAGAGCTTGTGCCTTCCCACCTCCTGCCAGGGAAGCTCCTGACTCTGTCCCTGCTGTTCTCCAGGTGGATCTCTCTAAATATGTGTCTGTCAATGGGGCAACAGCTCATCCCCACATTGAGAACGACGGCACCGTTTACAACATTGGGAATTGCTTTGGGAAAAACTTTTCCCTGGCCTACAACATCATCCGGATTCCTCCTCTGCAGGCAGGTCAGTCAGTCCCACCTCTGAGCCAGCTGGGAAACTTCTCCCTTATGAGGCATTTCTTTATCCTTTAAATTAACTTTGTTATCGAGTTAGGTTTTTTCTAAGCTCCTTTAATTTTTTTTTTTAATGTTGTATTTAAGCCACTTCCAGGTGGCTTCTAAATGACGATTCTGTGTTAAAGGCAGAATTTTGCTGGGTAATGCTGTAAGTACAGACCAAGTGTGGGTGAGACCTCCATAACCTCTCACCTGTCCCATTCCAGACAAGGAAGACCCTATAAACAAGTCGGAGGTGGTGGTGCAGTTCCCCTGCAGTGACAGGTTTAAGCCCTCCTATGTCCACAGGTAACATTCCATGGGGTCAGCATGTCAGCTGGAACCAGGGACTAGTTTTCACATGTAATCAGCAATGAAAATTAGGTGATTAACCAAAATCAGGGTCATTTTGAGTGATGATCCATGTGTTTACAATGAGCAAATCCATGGTTTTCATCCAAACTGACCCCAGTGAGCCTGATGTGCTCCCCTGCCTTTCACAACAGCTTTGGGCTGACCCCAAACTACATCGTGTTTGTGGAGACACCAGTGAAAATCAACCTCCTCAAGTTCCTCTCCTCTTGGAGCCTTTGGGGAGCCAACTACATGGACTGCTTCGAGTCCAACGAGACCATGGGGGTAAGCAGCATGGTCATCCCAAACTGGGCTGGACTGGGCAGCCAGACCATTGGCTTCACCTTCATTTCCCTGAGCCTAAGCCCAGCTGCTGTGTGGCTTCCAGGTGTGGCTTCACGTGGCAGAGAAGAAGAAAGGCAGGCTCCTCAACCTCAAGTTCCGCACCTCGGCCTTTAACCTCTTCCACCACATCAACACCTACGAGGACAACGGGTTCCTGATCGTGGACCTGTGCACCTGGAAGGGGTGAGGCCAAGGGTCCCTGGGCATCACAACTGCCCCTTGCACCACACACGCCACGCCCTGTCCTGGCATATCCCTGCTGGGGCCTCTGGCACTTCCACCAATCCATTTAACACGTGGTGACATGTAGACTATACAGCATTTTCATCTCTAGAGGTGCAGGGGGCCTGCTTGGCACTCATAATCCAGGAGAAAAATATTTTTATCTTTTATTTACTTTTATCTTTAAGAGATGTTAGTGACTGGTGAAGGGTTGATGCTATTCTGGCTCCTGGGGCTGCAATGAGCAGGGTGTGTGTGAGGCTTGAACGCTGTCTCTTCATGTAAACACAGAAATGTGGCATTGAAATGATGAAGCTCAATCCTCTGCTGGCTGCATATCCAGGACACCCTGAGCTGTGCTGATTCTGGCATATGATCATAGAATTCCAGACTGCTTTGAGTTGGAAGGGACCATAAAACTCATCTTGTTCCACCCCCTGCCATGATCAAGGTTGCTCCAAGCCCCTTCCTATGCTTGTGCTGAATACCTGACAGGAGCTGTGGTGCACACACAGCTCAGCTCTGCTGAGGAGCTGGACTGGGGCTTCTGTCACTCTGTTTTGCCCCATCCCTGGCAGTGTCTGAGGCCAGGCTGGACAGAGCTGGGGCACCCTGGGATAGTGGAAGGTGTCCCTGCCCATGGCAGGGGCTGGGAATAGATACACATTAAGGCCCCTCCCACCCCAAACCATTCTACACTTCCATAAATTTTAGTCAAAAACCACCTACACTTCCCCCACACTTGCAAAGCCCAGCTGTGTTTGTCTCTGTGATGCTGTTTGGTGCAGGTTTGAGTTTGTCTACAATTACCTGTACCTGGCCAACCTTCGTGCCAACTGGGACGAGGTGAAGCGGCAGGCGGAGAAGGCGCCGCAGCCCGAGGCCCGCAGATACGTCCTGCCCCTGAGCATCGACAAGGTACTGGAGCCTGCTGCTCTCCCTGCCAGCCCTCCTGCCCCACTCACTTCAAATTCAGCCTTTCAATTAAGAGGGCAAACTTGAAGTATGGGCTTTCAGAGAAACTTTGTATTTTCTTTAGCTGATCAATGTTTTTCTGGTTTATTTATATGGTTGCCAAGTGAGGTTGTGGCTGCCCCATCCCTGGAAGTGTCCAAGGTTGGGCTGGATGGAGTTCTGAGCAACTGGTCTAGTGGAAGGTGTCCCTGCATGTGGTGAAGAAAATGAGATGAACTTTAAGGTCCCTTCCAACCCAAACTCTTTGATGACTCCATGTGTTACCATTCATGGCAGAGCCTGTGGGGCAGCAGTTAATATTGGATCTGCTCACAGCACAGAAGGGAGCAGCCACAGCCCAAGCATGTGTGGTTAAATCCTCCAGCCCTCGGTGTGAGGTCCCTGGAGCTGCCAGCCTGGCACAGACAGAGCTCTCTGGCTGGCAGCTCTGGGTTCCTTTCCATGACCCCGCTCGTGGGGGCTGGCGGGTGGGCCAAGGGCTGCAGGGCACTGGTCAGCAGAGCCTCTCACGGAGCTCACTGGGCTGTGGATCAAGTGAGACGTGCAAGCCCACGTGGCAGTGCTTAATGAAACCTCTGAATGCCTTCAGCAGGGAGGGAAATTGTGTTTAGGCTGAGGAACAGGACAGTTCTGGCAGCACTGCCAAGCACACGGCAGCAGTCGCCTCCTGCCGCTCCTGAGGCTCTGCCACACGTCGCTGCCTTCCCTGTTCAGCGCTGTTTGCTACAGTTCTGTGCAAATAAACCAAAACTTTTCTCCAGTCTCTTGGGTACTTATTTCTCTTTGTCACAGGCTGACACAGGGAAGAACCTGGTCACCCTGCCCTACACGACAGCCACAGCGACGCTGCGCAGTGACGAGACCATCTGGCTGGAGCCAGAGGTGATTTTCTCAGGGCCACGCCACGGTACGATGACACCCCAGCTCCCCCAGGTCACAGCAGCCAAGTGCTGCCTGCACATCGAGTCCCACTAACTCAGCATTTTTACACATATTTATTTTTCCTTGTAGCCTTTGAATTCCCTCAGATCAACTACACCAAGTACGGAGGGAAGCCGTACACGTACACCTACGGGCTGGGGCTGAATCATTTTGTCCCAGACAGGGTAACTATCAGCCAACAGGGGGTGGCTTCAGTTTGGGGACAACAAGGAGTGTTTCTGAGCTCTGTGGTTGTGCGTTGTCCCCACCTTTAGCTTTGCAAGCTGAACGTGAAAACCAAGGAGACCTGGGTGTGGCAGGAGCCGGATGCGTACCCGTCAGAGCCGATCTTTGTCTCCCACCCAGATGCGCTGGAGGAAGATGATGGTAATGCTGGGAGGTTGGTGGGATTTGGGTTGGGATTGGGACTGGAAAGGGCTGTGCCAGGCTGGCTGCAGGGCTGTGCCACAGCTGGGCAGGCCAGAGCCTGCAGGCAGCTCCCGGATGAGATGGAACAGATGCTAACACTGGTGGGAAATTTTTGAGGAAACACGGTAAAACTAGAATAATAAAATTTTGGCGTTGGGAGGAACCTTAAAACTCATCCTGTTCCATCCCCTGCTATGGGCATGGACACCTTCCACTACCCCAGGTCGCTCTAAGCCTTGAACCTGGCCTTGGACACTTGCAGGGCTGGGGCAGCCACAGCTTCCCTGGGCAGCCTGTGCTGTGTCCCTGCCCGTGCCCCTCAGCATCGACACTCCCGGGATTCCTGGTGCCCCGAGTGCCAGGGCTGCTCTGCCTTGCCCAGCCGGGGTCAGACACAGCCCACACCCACCGTGTTCTCACCTTGCAGGGGTGGTGCTGAGCATCGTGATCAGCCCGGGGGTGGGGCCCAAGCCTGCCTTCCTCCTCATCCTCAACGCCAAAGACATGAGCGAGGTGGCCAGGGCCGAGGTGGAGGTGAACATTCCCGTGACATTCCATGGGTGCTTCAAGAGAGCGTGAGCACAAACAGCAACACCTGCCCCGGGCTTCCTGCAGCTCCCAAAAGGTGCAGTCTCCATTTACAGGTGACCCAAACTCCTTCCACAGCCCTTTGCATTTGTGGGGCTGCTTAGCTCAGCTCAAGCAGTTCAGTCTTGTCAATGATTCTTCAAAACGGTTAATCAGGTATTTTTTAAACGCACCCTTTGGTACCATTTCCAGTAAAACCACAAGTTAGGGGTGGTGGAGAGGCTCTGTTTGTGCAAAATTAAACTTTGTAGCTGCAGCAGAGTGAAGAGGCTAAAAGAGCAGAGAGTAACCTCAACACTTTTACATGACATGTGGTAACCTTGTGTACAACTGGCTGTGCTCTGTTACAAGGTTGAGAATTTTTAGCCTCTACTGAAGGATTCTGGATTTAAACATCATCCTGGTCATTTCTGTGGTATCCTCAGAGCAATCCCAGTGGAGCTTTGCCACAGCTGCTTTGGGAATCCCAAGAGGGTGGCAGGTAGAGTTTTGTTCTTCACCCAGGCTGCAAACTGCACACCTTCCCTTGTGTGTTTGCTCTTTTCCCTTTCTTTAGTCCAAGTGCAGCTCATTGATTTCTGGATTTCATGTGAAAACATGGACATGAAAAAATCAAGCAATTGTTACCCCCTGGGCTGACTTTGCTTCCTTAGAGTGTTACAGATGTTCAGCTTAATCCTTCCTTCTCCCAAAATAAACTTTCAGCTCATGTTAAAAGAGGTTATTGTTGAGAATAAAAACTTCCTGCCAGCAGATTTAAAATCTGGGATTCTTGTTTGTCTTCAGTTGTTCAACACTTTTATTAATGGTATCAAAGAATTATAAAATGTTTATACTCAGAGTTCTGGTAGAGGTTTCTTGTTTGAGGGGGCTGCAGTTACATCCTGATGATGGGATGGGGACGGGGAGACACAGCCTGGTACTTCTTCTGTTCCATGATCTCCAAGCACTGGGCAATCACCTAATTAAAAACAAAACAAAACAAAACAAAAAAAAAAAAAGAATGAGCCTCAAAAAAAAAAACAAAACACCAAAACAACAGTACAACTCATTAGTTCTGTGCTTATTTATTTGTTCCTTCTGTTTGTGCAACACTGAACACAGTAAAATGAACAGTTCAATTCTCACTTATTTTCATGTGTAGCTCATAAAGTGGGAATTTCAGGGCACTAGGACTAAAAAAACTTCTTGGTGCTCTCCCATTATCAAAGTTTCCATAAACTCCATGAAAATCTTTACCATCCACATAGTTCCATAAATATGCACCATATTTAGAAGGGCTGTGTTGTAATTTAACCCCAGCTGAAACCAGGACAGATTGAGATCTTCAAGTAAACAAACTTCAGAAGTGCAGAGAAGATTTTTATTGCTAATAAACAATCTAACAAGGAAAAATAAAAGAACAAAGGCAGCAGCTTTCAGAAAGAACCTAATGGAGGGAGGGATGTCTGCCAATTTTAAATCAATAAAAAGGCAGGGGAGCATCCCAAATGTACACAACAAATTTAAAGCAGGAAGAGAAAATTGCAACAAGCAGCATCCCAGGATAAAAGAATGTTTTGGAAACAAAAGGAATTCTGAGGAGTTTGAACTCCAAAGAGTGAAGATATGGGTAATTATATGGAAAAAAGGGATTCAGATGCAGATTCAAATTATGGTAAAGTCAAAGGAGAGGCTCAGTGAGGAAATGCTGTGGTCAAGTAACCAGAATTCAAGAGAAACTTTTTTTCTAAACTAATGGGGAAGAGACAGGATGAGAATTACAGAGAAACTCCATGGAGTGAGAAGTGGGAGCCCCAGGTCAGGAATCAGCACATTGCCAACCCTGAGTGAGTCATGTTCACCCACTGTGAGACTGGAGAATAAAATGGCCTAAAAGGAAAACCCACCTTCCTGGTGTCTTGAGGTAGAATGATCCCATCATCCCAGAGCCTGGCAGAGGAGTAAAAGGCACTGCTTTCTTCCTCTAGCCTGGAGAGGGCAGGGAATTGACAAGCTTAAAAGCACAATAAAAACAGCAGAGCAGTGAAAATAAATTACAGCTGAAACAGGCAGATCCAGCCACCTGAGGAGAATGGGCAGCACTGCTGTTAAAATTAGTCAGAAACCAGCAAATAACAGAAATGACCATTCTGCAGTAATGGGAAGACCCTAACAGAAAGATATCAAACTACGTGGAAATTTAAAATATTTTTGCAGTAGATCCATGTTTGTTTCATTAGCTGGGATGTGTTACTCTGTAAGATGAACAAAAGTAGGTAATTTAACAAAGAAATCCCTGCCAGGTTTATAGTGAATGTCCTTACTTTGCCTTTAGCTGTTTTAGCTCCAGTTCCTCTCCTGTCCTGTCCCCAGCTGGTGGAACTGTGGGGAAATGTTGAGAATCAACAAGACCAACTCTTGCATTGGGCCACAGGAACAGAAAGTTTGGACTGAATGATCTCCCACACTACAAGGAAAAAGCCAAAGAACAGAACAAACTCACTGAGAGGAATCATAAAGAGGACAGACACCCTGTGCTAGGAACCACCACCTCCCCACCACCTTCAATATTTCTATTTTAATATTTCATTTTGAATTCCAAGCACTTCCATGTTTATTTTTCAGCAATCACATGCAGTGTTGCATTTCTTACTTAAATATGAGTTCAGAGCTCGAGCTCCCCAGCTGTGTTTTAGAAATGCAGTGACACTTGAGCAGTGTGACAGGTGTGTCCCCAAGCCCTGGGCTGGTGCCATCCATACCATGATGTAGCTGTCACTCCCAAAACAGCCTCCAATGACAATGGTTATTTTGGGAACAGCAGCACAGGCAACTGCAGCCATCATGGAGGCCTGGGCCTTCAGCCTGTTGGAATGAGCCTCTGCCTGGAATTAAAAATAAATATTTTAGATTCTTTAAGACTTTTTTCTAGATTCTCTCCACTCCCAACAAACTTGTATTTCTAAATTATCTATTTATTTATTTACAATTCTGCAGAAACAGATCTGGGATCTAATGGCGGTTTTACTTTCCTTAGCCCAGGAGAAATCCTACTGGGCTTTAATACCTTCACTTTCAAAAGAGAAATTGCCAATTTTCTGGAGTGCGAGCTAGCAGAGGAATCAATAAGCTGTATTTCAATGTCAAAAGCACTGCAAGTTCCAAACTTTCCAGCCTGCCTTGCTAACTGAACAGTATCGTTTCACATCAGCATCCAGCCCTGCTTAAAATTCAAGTGAGAACGTGAGAATGCTCTTAAATCTTTCCATTAGCAAAGTCATTATGAAGCTCCATCAAGAGTGGTTAAAAAACTAGTTTTCCTAACAGTTAATAATTCTGAAAATGTAACTTTAGGCACAAGAAGAACTAAGAGTTGTTTGAAATGCATTGAAGCAAACATGCCATACCTGTGAGATGCTTGCAGGCCCTGCTGGCTGTGGAGCAGTGTTTTGGAGGAAGAGGATGGGAATTCCCCTCTGGCCACAGAGCTGGACAAAGTGGCTGCCCTTGAGAGCAGCATCGTGAGCCAGCTCCCCATTGTTGGCCACTATCCCCACCAAGTGCCTGCAGAACAAACATGGACAGTTGGACTCCATGATCTGAGAGGTTCTTCCCAACCTCAGCAATTCCATGACTTTTGAGCCCTAGGAATGATTGGAATGGTGTGGAACCTGCTGAGGACACAAAAGCTGTTGAGAAATGCGTGTCCATCCATTTGGATGGGGAATGTTCCCAGCCATACCCTTCCACATGGCCAAATCCTGTCACTAGTGTTGTTCCATAAGTAGCCTTGAATTCCTGGAATCTGCTTCCATCCACCAGCCGGCTCAGAACCTGCAAAGCAATACACAGACTTTACTTTACTAGAGAAATTGAGAAGAGTTCTGCTAAAAGAAATGCTCTTCAAACAGTACCTGAGTTATGCAAGATGGGTAGGTGGTCTTTGGGTGACTTGCTAAATGCTCAGTATGCACAAACCTTCCAAATTTGTGTTCAGTTTAATTACCAACTGTGTATTTTATGACAAAGGCCAACTCCAAAATTATTTTAGTTTTACAAAACACATTTATTCCTGTGCATAAAATTGTAAAATAGCAAAAACCAAACCCCAGTGTGTGCAGTTTCAGATTTTGTGCAGAAGAAATGCTTGGTTCATATGGCTCGTGCTTTTTTCCAACACAGTTAAAAGCTGCCTTCAAAGCTTTCTACAGTCAATTCCCTCAAGTGCAGGAATTTACCACTGGAAAACATACTGCATTCACATCTATGGAGACAAAATCTCATGTAGAACACAATGGAAACAGCGTGGGCACCTCTGCATATCTCTGCTTAAGCTTTTAGTGTCTGTCCCAACCCCAAACAAGTTTGATTTGAGCTGTGTTGGTTTTTCAGTCAGTAATTTCACCATTTCTTTTACATCATCTTGAACACTTGGGGAGAAGAAACAAAAAGGTAGGGGAAGGGAAATGCAGGCATTAAAGGATTGTATGTTCTCAAGGCAGTGAAAGACAGAAAGAAAGCATCCCAACAGTGCATAGAAACAGCTGGGCAGCACTGGCACAATCTGGGATTATTTTATCTCCAGCAGGATTTCAGGTTAAATATTTTCTATAATCCCACAGAACTGTTGCCATCCTGCTTTGTTTCAGGCTTAGGACAGACTGGCAACAGATGAGGTAATAATTCAGAATAACACCTGGAGCTGTGGGACAGAGCAGAGTGAAGGAGGCAGGAATGAAATCCTTGCTCCCTTACCAGTTTGACAGGAAGAGTGCAGCTGTAACCCAGTGGTGCCAGGCCCAGGAGCTCCTCAGGGCTGTACAAGGGACTGTCAGGCTCCCTCTTCTGCTCTGGCACTGGCTCACAGTTTAAGGTAGAGACAACATTACGAATGCACTCATAGGCCTCCTCTTCTGAGGGTGCAAAATGGTCACTGCAGCCACTGACTCTAGGAGACAGAGACATTAATTAGCATTGAATTAATGAGTTCTGAGTCCTGAGGGAAAACCCAAACTCTAGGGGAAAAGCTGAGATTCTACAAATGCTCTGTGGAAATACTGTGTGATTTGTTTCTGTATGAATGAACTGAAAGTAGCTACTCAGTGGAATTTCTGTGCAGTCCAATCCCAAATTAAATTCACAGTAAGGACTTGTTCCTCCCCGTGACTTTTGTGTATATTTGGATTAAAGAAACACCTTGGCATTTATTTTTGTGATGCTGTTGTTGCAGACAATATCAAAAAGGGAAAAGACGAAAGCAAACTTTAGGAGCTATTTCAAAATAAGTGGTTGCAGCCAAGATATAAAGACAGGAATGCATTCCTTTAGCATAATTGGGTTAAATATGTATATTCTGGAAAACACTTGGAAAAAGAGGAGATAGCATCCCTCCTTTGTAGCTGCTCATTGTGAGGCACAGAGGAAATTACTTGCCTGAAGTTGTTTGAGAAGTATGTGGAACAATAGACATCCAAATCAAACCTGTCCCTGCCTCACCCCATCAATAACTTCATTTTACTTCCCTTTGGCTGATTTAACCCAAACCCCTGAGCCTGAGAAGGCAAAACAGTGTAACCACAGGTTGCACTCCAAGCCCTGCTCTGAAACACCAATGCCACATTCCTTTCAGGCTGAGCATGCTGAATTCCCTGGTTTTGAGAATACTCCACATACTGTGAGTGAAGCCTGGCTCCTCCAAGGTCCTCAGGAGAGACATCTTCTCCCGTGGCAGCTTTCACCAGGGGTGGCCCAGCAAGGAACAGAGTCCCAATTTTATCAATGATCACGGATTCCTCAGCCATGGTGGGCACATAGGCACCTCCAGCCACACAGGAGCCACACACCACGGCCACCTGAGGGGACACAGACACAGCAGTGCTGCAGAGGGGACAGGAAAGGCAAAGCCAAGCCCAAAGTTGTTTCAGAAACCCAGAAAGTCCTAAATCACAGCTTGGGGAACAAACTAGAGACAGAACAAAATTTACTATGCATTTACACCTTTCCTACACCCCCGTGCACTCCCCATGCCGCTGTACCTGAGGGATTCCCATGGCAGACATGATTGCCTCGTTGTAGAAAATTCTGCCACCGTGCAGCTTGTCAGGAAACAGCTCTGACTGAGGGACAGGGAAAAGAAAAAGGGATTTTTAATGTTAGCTATGAAACTTGATGCTTCCTCTTCCCTCCATTCATTCCCAAACACACCAAAACCAACCCTGGGAAGGTCCCATTAATAATCACTCCTGAACCTTTCATTAATAGCATTCATTATGTTCCTTCATACATAGTTAAATCCCCCCAAAAATACCCGTTTGTTTTGAAAGCCCAGGTTAAGTTTTGTGATTTTTTCTGAAATCGACATGTTCTACACAAACTGACGGCAAATATGGAGAAGGGAAGGGTGGTAGCTTTACTTCATCCGTGAAATGCCTTCAGCAATTTCCTTTTTTACTTAGTTTTGGATACAATTCCACGTAAATTTCCAGGTAACTTTTAAAGTTTGATAGCTTTAAATGTCTTTAAAATTCCAGGTAACTTTTCCTGTGTGCTTGCCCTCAGTGTGGATAGAGAACACCTCCTGTCTCTATGACAGGATGATTTCTGCATTTCACCGAAGAACCTGTTCAAATTCTTATTTTGCAGTCAGAATTGCAAAAACTCCACTTTTAAAAGCCACAGAGCTTAGTGCACCACTAGCACAAACAGGACAATAAAATACAAACACTTTAGAGATTCTGGAGTGAAAATAGATACCTCCCACTATGTACTCATTTATCAGACACAAAAGCAGCTCAGCACACTCACTGGAGTGTCTAACCTCTGATCAGGTGGGAGGTGCAGGACTAGCCCAGGTGATGAAATAAATGCTGATATTTTCTGCTCTGCGGAGTGCCAGCAGTACCTGCAGGGGTAGGAAGGCTCCCCCGCTGTCCACCAGGTGCACAGACAGCAGCCTGTTCTCCATGGCAATTTCCTGGGCTCTCAATTGCTTTTTCACTCCAATTGGGTAAATGGTTCCTCCTTTCACAGTGGCATCACTTGCAATGAAGACACACCAGACCCCACAGATTCTGCCAATTCCTGCAAACAGTACCACAGATACTTACCAGGACTCTCTAAAGCAACAGGCAAAGCAAGGGGGGCAAACTTTTAAACTTTTTCAACTTTTTCAGGAGTTTTTCTCAGTAATGCTACATCAAGAAGGTCCAAATTAACATGAAAATACCACACAGGGAAGAAATTTACACTCTTCTCTGGAATTACAGTGTTTAAAAAAATAATATAAATGACAGAAGAACCTCAAATAAATTTACTTACTTCTGCTGACAATGTAACAGAAAAAAATACACTGTAACTCCCAACCCTTGAGATAAAAGGGAAGGCAATTAAACATTACCCTTGTAAAACTGAAAAATATAACAATCTGTAATAAAAAAGGGGGTTTTATACTGTTCTTCTGGTTACTTTTTAAACTGGAACCACTCTTCTAAATGCAATTTCGCTGATATTGAGTAAAGTTGAATTTCAATGAAATTTCATTTTGAAGAGCTGTTCCAGTTTAAACTGTTCCAGTTTAACGAGACAATGTCAGCAGAGAAAATGCAGTGATTTGAATAACACTTCAAAATGTATGTCACAACTCCTATTTCTCACAGTAACTTTGTCCTCTCTCCGTTAAGAGGCAACAACTGATTTGACACATCACCCTACATTTTTTGAGACAAAAAAATTACTAAGTGGTAAGTAGAATTACTAAATCTAGAAGAAATTAAAACCATTTTTTCAAATGTTTCTCCCATTATAGTAGTACAGCAGTGGCTGAACTCTTCCCTGTTGGGAAGAAGAACTAGATAAAACCAGCGTTAACTTTTCCTAGGAAGGCATTCAGATACTAAAATACCCCATAAACTTTATTCCATGCATCCTTTTCCCCCACGGTTTTCCTTTCCCAGTGCCCCCAACATCCCATTACCCGTGAGGCAGCCGGCAGCAGGGACATCCCCGTAGGGCAGGTCCAGCCCTGCCAGCGGGGACAGCTCCAGGAAATCCGCATCGTCCAGCAGCAGCCTCAGGCGCTCCCGCACGAACACCTTCTTGTTGCGCTGCGTGTGCCGCAGGATGGCATTTTCTCCCCCTCCTTTCTTCACCCTCTCCAGCAATTCCGAGTACCTGATGGGAAAAAAGCCCCAAAGTCGATGGGAACAAAGCTGTGGGGAGGGGTGACTTCGGAGGGACACGGACAGGGGGAGAGGTGGGGCTGGAGGAACCTCAGGAGTCCAACACGGCCAAGGGCAGGTCCTGGAAAATCCCAAGGACAAACACGGGCTGTGGGAGAAGGGATGGAGAGGAGCCCTGGGAGGATTTGGGGTGTTGGTGGATGAGAAGCTCATCCTGCCCTGTCCAGAGGAGGCCACGGAGCTGCTGCAGGGCTGGAGCCCCTCTGGATCCAGGCTGGGAGAGCTGGGGGGGCTCCCCTGGAGAGGAGAAGGATCCAGGGAGAGCTCAGAGCCCCTGGCAGGGCCTGGAGAGGGGCTGGGGACAAGGCAGGGAGGGACAGGACACAGGGAATGGCTTCACTGCCAGAGGCAGGAATGGATGGGAGACTGGGAATTGGGAATTGTTCCTGGGATGGAATTCCCAGAGCAGCTGTGGCTGCCCCTGGATCCCTGGCAGTGCCCAGGGCCAGCTGGATGAGTCTTAGAGTACCCTGGGACAGCGGGAGGTGTCCTTGCAATGGCAGGGGTGGCACTGGGTGGGCTTTGAGGGCCCTCCTGATACAAACCATTTTCCTTACAAGTTACCCTTTAGCAGATTGAGCCTAAATATATTGCAGTTTTCACACAAATGGCATGAAAATGAAGATAAATTCACATTTTCAGATTATTGTTTTTCCAAGGTGAAATAAAAAGCAAAGGTCTATTATTTAAAGCAAACATTTCACTTTAGTTAGCCAAAAGCTGTTTAATAAAGTCAATAATATAATATATAATAAGGAGGCTATCATAATGTGCCTGTCCTAATTCAGGATGAACCTTCATGTTTCATCTCCTTTTGGGAAAAATCCAGCCAAGAGCTTCCTCTGTCAGGTCCTGCAACAAGTTTATCTGACAAAAATCAGTAACTGGGAAGTGGAATAAATTACTAAATTTGGAAGATATACTAAAAGCAGGGAACACTGCAGTGTCACAAGGAGGAAGTGATTACCCAATGGTATTGTCAGTGCAGCACCATGTACAGGTAAAAAACCAAATAAACTATAAATAAACACGGTATCTCAGTTTTGGTCTTAAATAAACCAAGTTCTTCCGTTATTTCAGACATTTGCACCAGATGCATCACCTTCAACTGTAAATGTTGTTTGACACAAAGACTCACACAGAACTTTGGGTGTGACTCTGTGACTCTGCTGGAAAAACTTCGGAGGAAAAGGATTTTGATCCTGTCCTCAATACCACCACAGGAGGGCACAGTGTGTTTTCCAAAGCTTTGCTTCCAGCTCGTGGATCACTCCCCTGAACAAAGGCCTTTGCAATTGTGCCATCCGATCTTCCGGGACAAACACATAAAACACATTTTGTTGTTTTATCTATAAATGATGACGGACTGCAGCACCCATCCCCTACTCCGTCAGGAGTGTGTGAGTCACCATTTACGTCTTTGCATTCGAAATGCAACACGAAACAAATGTTACGTAGGTCTGGAAAAAGTATTTCTTGGCAATATACGCAAAACAACACATGGCACTGTTTTAAATAGTTCGCACCTCGATTTGGGTGTTTCAGTCAATATTTCACTGACTGGTTTGTGTTGGAAAGGACCTCAAAGCTTATCCAGTGCCACCCTCTGTCATGGGCAGGGACACCAGGCTGCTCCAAACCCCGTCCAACCTGGCCTTGGACACTTCCAGGGATTGGGCAGCCACATTGCTCCACGAGGCAAATATTTTCCTGTGTTAAAAGTCCCTAAAGTGCCCAAAAGTGACTCTTACACCATGTCACAAATAGCAATGCTCTAAAAACCCCAAGAAACCACTTTATTACCTTTTAATCACAGCCTCGCTGTTCCTTAAATTCCCTTCGAACACATGTCGGTACACGGTGGGGACACGTCCGTCTAGAACTGGGAATTTTTTGGGATGGCGCCTGGATTTGGGTTTATTACTTAAAAAACGGCGGGGAGGCAGGTGCTGTGTCCTTCCCCAGCCCTCCCTGGGCAGCGGCAGCTCCCGATATTCCCTCTGGAGCAGGCAGAAAGGGGTTTTCTCCCGATATTCCCTCTGGAGCAGGCAGAAAGGGGTTTTCTCCCGATATTCCCTCTGGAGCAGGCAGAAAGGGGTTTTCTCCCGATATTCCCTCTGGAGCAGGCGTGTCAGGGGTTGCAGCAGGGCCGGGCTCCACATGGCCCCGAGAGCTGAGGGACAGCGAGGGACAGGAATTACAGAGCGGGCTCCCTCGGCTGAGGGGCAGCGCGGGCCCTTCGCCTCGGGCGCGGGCCATGAGGGGACATCCCGGCTCCATTCTGCCTGAGGGGACAGCCACGGTGCCGCGGGGGTCGTGAGGGGACACCCGACTCCATTCTGCCTGAGGGGACAGCCCCGGTGCCGCGGGGGCCGTGAGGGGACACCCCGACTCCATTCTGCCTGAGGGGACAGTCTGGTACCTGGCCTGCCGCGGGCACCGTGAGGGGACACCCCTCAGGGGACACCCCGGTTCCTGCGGGATTCCTGAGGGGACACCCCTGTTCCTGCGGGATTCCTGAGGGGACACCCCTGTTCCTGCGGGATTCCTGAGGGGACACCCCTGTTCCTGCGGGATTGCTGAGGGGACACCCCCTGCTCCTGCGGGATTCTTGAGGGACACGCCTGTTCCTGCGGGATTCCTGAGGGGACACCCCTGTTCCTGCGGGAGCTGTGAGAGGACACCCCGGTTCCTGCGGTATTCCTGAGGGGACACCCCTGCTCCTGCGGGATTCTTGAGGGACACCCCTGTTCCTGTGGGATTCCTGAGGGGACAGCCCTGTTCCTGCGTGAGCTGTGAGGGGACACCCCGGTTCCTGCGGGATTCCTGAGGGGACACCCCGGTTCCTGCGGGATTCCTGAGGGGACACCCCTGTTCCTGCGGGATTCCTGAGGGGACACCCCCGGTTCCTGAGGGATTCCTAAGGGATACCCCGGTCCCTGCTGTGCCACGGCGGCCGCAAGAGGACAGCCCCGCTCCGGGCCGGGCCCAGCCGGGCCTGCGGAGCGCGGTGGGACCGGGACCGGGGGACCGGGACCACCCGGGCCGGGTAGGGAGTGCGGGGCCGCGGCCGCTCCGCCGGAGCTCCCCGGCCCCCGCTGGCCCCACTCCCCGCCCGCCCCGTGCCCACCGCGGCCCGGCTGGACCCTGCCGCCACCGCCCCTTCCTTACCCCGTCCGGGACCCGCCCGCCTCTCGGGGCGGCTCCGCAGGGCGGCCCGCCCCCGGTGTCCTGTGCCCGGAGTATGCTGTGTCCGTGCCATGTGTGTCCTCTGTCCCTGCTGTCCTGTGCCCGCAGTGTCCTGTGTCCGTGCCATGTGTGTCCTCTGTCCCTGCTGTCCTGTGCCCTCCATGTCCTGTGCCCCAAGTGTCCTATGCCATGTGTGTCCTCTGTCCCTGCTGTCCTGTGCCCGGAGTGTCCTGTGCCCCGAGTGTCCTATGCCATGTGTATCCTTTGTCCCTGCTGTCCCATGACCCTGGGTGTCCCCTTCCTTGTGTGTCCTGTACCCCAGGTGTCCTCTCTGAAATTAAGATTATCATTAGAATATTCAAACGAATTTGATTTTTCTCCTTCCACACCTCATCCCATCCCTGGGCTGCTTTGGTTTGCTATTGTCAACCATGGCACAACCTTCTATAAATTACTGTGTGTTGCCTTTCAGTGCCTTCGTTAAAATGCATCCCTGCCAGGGAGCTATTTATCTGTATTATACATATTAATAAGGCTGGGTAGCAATAATTAAGGGATGACTAATATGTTCGTGAGTGAAAGTATCCAGCATGGGCTGGAATTCGTAGGTAAATATGTTATATATGTTATTAAAAATCTTGAGGGTAATAATTAAAATTTCCTGAGATACAATAATTTAAAATAATATTTGCTGTCCTTTTACACTTATAACAGACAGGACACTTTTCAGTGCTGTGCTCCCTTGTAGCAAGAAGCTCAATTCAGGTGGAGCTGTGGGAGGTGGTGCCGCTGCCCTGGGCGGCTTCAGCTGTCCCAGGGGATGTGCCTGAGTCCCTGTGGCTGTCCCAAACCCTGTGACAGGGAGAAGGTCTGTGCTGGACCAGGGAGAGCCCCGGGAGCAGCGGGCAGAGGTGCTCTGCCAGATCAAATTAGCGCTCCAGGGCAGCACAGACACTGCAGAGTCACCACTGCCAGGGCCTGCCCACCCTCCCAGGTAACAATTCCCAATTCCCAATGTCCCATGCATCCCTGCCCTCTGGCAGTGAAGCCATTCCCTTGTCCTGTCCCTCCCTGCCTTGTCCCCAGCCCCTCTCCAGCTCTCCTGGAGCCCCTTCGGGGCGTTTCTGGGGACGGTTGATGCTCGCTTCGGTTCTTTCCTCCTTCCCTGTGTAGCCAGAACTCTTTTCTCCCAACACTTTGAGAAACTTGTGAAGAGCTGACGAGGAGACAGAGTCACTGTGCAGCTTTATAGAGATCTTTTTGCATTTCCTGTGGGATATCATGTGAATTCTTGTGTTCTCAGTGGTGCAGGTGATAATGGGGAAGGAAGAAGTGGTGACAGATATCCATGTAAAGCAGAATACATTTGAAGAAGTCTGAATTTCAGAGAGTTGGTGGTGCTGCTCAGCTTTCTGGAGGAGGAATTGCAGATGCAAACACTTGGATATGTGTTTGAAGTGAGATTTGGACTCCCTGGTGTCTCTGGGCTCCTTTTAAACTTGACCCACATACCATTTCCCTGGATTCATAAGACTTTTGAGTTGTCTGTTCTGTGGATATATCAGTGACTCTTGTCCAATTATATTTTCATGCTTATATCATTTTCCAGAATTGTTAGGCTTCCATAGGAGACATTATCTCTGAAACACTGGTGTTGCATAGAAATTTCATTATATGTGATTTTAATGAGCAGATTTTCTATAAATATCATTTGCTGTTAATTTCTTGGCTTATATTGGTGATGGCTTCGGCAGTTGGGCTTGATGACCTCAAAGCTCTTTTTCAGCGCAAATGATTCACTCATTCTTTATTATTTTACAGGTTTTCCAGTAGATGGAATCAGTGGTCACAGGCAGAATTTGCTGTAAGTAGGAGAAAGGATTTTCACTCAGGCTTAAAAGAGTAAGTTAATTTCATTCCTCATGAAAGTTAAATGCTGTTTGCTCAGATTAAAGGAGAAAGAAACAGCCCCCACATTTCTGAGTGCCTGTTTATCTCAGAGAGAAGGCATCAGCCACCAGTTTGTACTGGGAGGCAGCCTGGGATAAATAACAAATCCTCTAATTAAGAGCCAACGGATCCTAATTGACTTATGTTAGTCCTCCAGCTGGGCTCAGCCTTCCTCTCCTGTCATGGCATGGAGCATCCTTTGTTTAAGGCACCCTGAGGTAGGAAAACCCAGCCCCTGTGAGAGGCTGCAGCCTTGTGAAGTGTTTGAAGTTGTTATTTTAGGAGCTTATTTTAGCGACTCCTGAGCTGAGCATTGAGAATATATAGAGCAGCATTTAGGGAAACCGTTCATGTGGTGGTGGCTTCCTTTACCATGAGCTGCAGCTCTGCCAGCCAAGCTGAGCTGTGCCATTTAAGGAACACTGAAGCTTTGAGTGAAGCTTAAACTTAGAAACTTTGCTGGAGTGCACCGGATGCTGGGGGAAACCAGAACACACTTTTTGGATTGTCAGACCAAAGGCAGGAGGGTTCCCACAGAGCCCTCCTCCTTGTGGAGCTTCTGTTTCATATTTAGATTTTGTTTTTTAGTGTCCAAAGAGCTTTTAGTCGGGTTCTGACCATGGTGGCCTGGAAATTGGGCTAAATTAAAGCAGGAGGTTTTTGTTTACTTAGAAGTGCTAGCAGACTTGGACAGTCCTGCAGCGTTTTTCAGGACTTACGTCATTCTAAAATAGATTTGACTCAAAACAAATTTGATAAGAAAGTAATTCTCACTTGATGTGTGTGAGAATCTCACTTGTTTGCATCTTCCCCAAAGGAAGAGCTGAGCCTGGGCAGGTGTGCTGAGGGAGAATCTGGATTTGATATGAAATATTAAGAAGTTTATTTAATTTAATTGCTGGAAGATCCCTGAGAACCCAAGGAGTTAAATTAAGTAGTTGGAAGATACAGGAGAAGTTGGGAGCCTGACCCTCAGTAAGTAAATGCTATTCCCACTGAGGGTTTTGTCAGATGCTCCCATACTACTCAGCTTCTTCTTTTGGGTAGTTTGAGGTTTTATGAATCCCCAGACAGAGATCCAGGGATGTCTTCCCCAGCTGTGCCAAAAGATGAGGGTGATCCATTGAGTCATGGAACTTTTGTGCACATTTGTTCATCACAGCTGTGTGAGACAGCAGCTGGATTACAACACCTCTAAAAAATTATGTATTAGCATCAAACCCTTAGCCACAATTATTTTCCACATAATTTACCAGTATCACAGTATTTTTAACTCCAGTTTAGCCTTCCCTGCTTCTCAGCCTGCTGCCACAAAGAGTTGATAATCCCAAGAAAAATCCCGTAATAACTCCAATTGTGGAATCCCAGCTGATTTGGAGAAGACAAACAACGTGTCCTCTTGCATCCATCACTGAGAAATGTGAGAGTCTGGTTTGCCTTACTCCTGCAAAAAAAATGCACAGAGCAAAAAGAGAAGAATTATCTCAGAGGAACGGAATTAACTTCTGATTAAGGCATAATTAATAATGTGTACATAACTAACAGTGTGTACATAATTAATACGGTGTACAATTCCCTGTTGCAGGGCCAGTCTGTCCTAAATTGTGCTGGTAAGAACTGAGAAGAATAGAAATTTATTCTGAGAATGCAAGTAACTGGTGATAATACCCAAATCTGAAGAAAAATAACTTTTTCTTCAGCGCCAAAACCTGTTGGTTTTACCTGCAGAGGTGTGTGAAACTTCTGAGCAGCTGTTCTTGTACATCTTGAAATGCAGCAACTGTGTGAAGATCTGCTGCTCCCTGTTTCAAAGGCCTAACCAAGAGTGTTCTGAGGTAATCCAAAAGCTCTTTGTGGGTGAGAGGAGATGCAGATTCAGTTGCAAACTCCAGGAAAGTGCTGATGGATTTATTCCCCTGTGCAAAGCCCTGGCACCGAGTGCTGACACCAAAGCCTCAGCCTGTGCCCGAGCTTTGGAGTGCTTTGCCCATGGGTTTGTAAGGCCATTCCCAGCTAGTAATTGGTGACTGGATGTGGTCAGGGCAGGCAGATAAACACTGGAGGGAGGGGGTGAATCACTGAGTAAATATCCTATCGATGCTGTAGGAGCTGCTGTTACTCACAGCACCTTTGGGGGGATGTGACGTGTTTGTTTGCAGGAAAATGTTACTTGAAAGAAGAATTGAGGTTAGATGTGTCCCAAATCTGCACCTTCCTCATGCATCTCTTGTCTCCTTCGGATCAGTTTAACATCCCCCCTCCTTCCTTCCTGTCCCCTTAGAGCTGGTCTCCCACTCTGAGGTCACAGCAGAGTTTTCATTCTGTAAATGCCAGCGTGGTTGCATCATTAAAAGCCCCCAAAGCAGATGGTCTGGGTTAAAGCAAAAAGGCTTTTTTTTTGCCAGTGAAGCAGCATTATAGTGATTAGAGCAGCCTGTTGGCAGTTTCTGTCAGCAATTTTTGCAAACATGTAATATATAAAAGGATAAAAATACCATTTACTGTGACTTGCTCACCACAGAAAGAGGCCAGAGCAATACAGTACCAAAATCAGGAAAAAAGGCCCTGCAAGTAGTTTTCTATCCTCTCTTCTGTGCTTTTCCAGGATCCTGGTGAATAAATAAGACTTCTTGAAGAGTGTGACCCTCCTTGTGGTTGCTGGGGCACCCCATTAGCCAACAGCCCCACCCTGTGTCAGCAAAGTCCTCAGCAAAGCTGGAGAGTTTAGAAATCATGGAGCACATTTTTGAAGACAAAACCCTCATTTCTGACCTTTGAACTCCATGAAATTTGCCATGATTGTAAAATACCTCTACCCTGAGTTATGGCACAAAGTTTCAGCAATAAAACTGAGTATTAAGGAGCAATACATAGAAAATCACAGACAAGATGCTGCAGTGATACCAGAAAATCCTCCTCCAGTTTCTGCTTTCCTGATCCACTTGGCATGAAATGCTTTCTTGACTTCTACTTACTATTCTCATAAAAACCACAGGGGTTTCTTCTCACTGCTACTTGTTTTGTCCAAGATCCAGTAATTGGTACCATATGAATTCACATTTTGAAGGGACAGAACAGAAATGGGATTCCAAAAAATCGCTTCAGCATCTCAGCCTTCAGCACACATCAGGGCTATAACCCCCAGTCTCTAAGGATCCATAGATTTACACATCAATTAGCTCATTTTATTCCTGCTAGTAACCCCTATGTGAATATTTACCGCTCAAATGGAATAATGATTAAAAATTAATAGTTGGTAGATTTTTGTGAAAATTCTGTTGCCTCTTCAGACTGGAATTGTTTTACTCTTGGTTTGCATGCACTCCCTTGATATATTAGTAATAATTTTAGTTATTGGTAACATATTTTGCTAAGTTTGGTGCACTAAAAATTATGTCTGCAGTATGAACCAGTGAACAATTAATGATGCCAGAAAAAGAGGGAAAAATTAAAATCAGAGGTAGAGCACCCTGTAAAGTGTTAAGGTACATTTTAAAGGTTTGGTGGGAGGGTCTGGTTTCTCCAGCCCCCTGTGGGTTACCTCTCCTCTTCAGGATACTTGGATCATCTTCTCGCTGGTTTAATTGAGCTGTGTGTGAGAAACATTTGCTCAGCAGGGAGCCCTTCAGCTGGGCTAGCGAGGGAGGGGTGGGATTCTCAAAGAAAAGGTCTGCTTGGAGCCCCTAAGGCACAGGAGAAATCCTTTGATTCAAAATCTTTCTGAGCTGGGCTCACATATTGCAGCTCTCAGCCTTGGTGCATAAAAGAGGCCTTCAAATTTCCCTGGTTTGTTTGACTGGATCCTTTTTCCAGCATTCAGCCTTGATGGCCACAACTGAATCATTTCAGGTGACAAAACCCCCTAGCAGTGGGTTGTCCATTCTGATGGAGACATTTTGAGCTGGTATTGTTTGAAATGAAGAAAAAAAAAAATGAACACAGGCTTTCAAATGGGAAGCACAGCAGTACTTCTAAAGAGCTCTTCTGCATAACTGTAAATAAATGGAAGGAAATTCCAATGTGCTGGCAGGTGACTTTAATCCAGTAAAATCAGGGCTGTGAGAGCAGGAAGTGGATGTGGAGATTCACTGGTTCCAGACCTGGCCCATCACTTGATTACCTTGTCCTGGTGTAGATGCTGGATGAGGAATTTCTGTGAGTAAGGCAGAACATATCCATAGGATGGGAAAAAGGGATGGAGAAACAATCTTCCTGCTGGCAGGTGTCACTGAGAGCTTCCTGTGGTACATGGAACTGGCCCTTTGGATGTGCAGCTCTCTTTACCCCCCAGTAAATCCAGTCTTGATCACCCAGGCAACAAACAGGGAACTTTGGAATATTCACAGAGATGGTGCTACAGCAATTCCAGAAACCACAGTGCGATTAGCAGTTAGCAGAGGGAACTTTTCCACAGAAGCCTCCAAGAGATTTCCAGCTGTAACATTTTACCTTTGAAAATATAACCAAAATTTTCATTTTTAGGTCTCTGAGCATTATCTTCTAGTCTCAGCAGAAAAGCAGTGGTGTAATTAACAGCTTCATTAATGCCAGAGTAATTATGAGCTACAGGAATGGCTGTTGCATCAGGAATTCTTCTTGTAGAACTGCAGCAACTTTTTGATTCTTCAGAACTCAGGAGAAACATAAAGGTAAAAGAAATAGTGAAAAATATTATTTAATCTAAATCTATTTAATCTAAATCTATTTAATCTAAATTTATTGAATCTATTATTGAATCTATTTAATCTGAATCTACACATCCCAATATGTTAAAAAAGAGGAATTGTTGCAGGTAGATTACACAGTGTCTTTATATAAATTTCAATTATAACAGTGTTTAAAAATATTAATTTTCATTTATTTCCTTGCTACAGTATGATCAAAATGTGTCTGCTGTGCATTTTTTCAGTGCAAAATTCAGAATGTGCTTCATATTTATAATTGGCCAAATAATCCAGATGCCAGTTGCTGTTTGCTCTGTTTATTGCATTTATACTTATGGATGTATTATGTAAATATTCTCAGAGTCACCACACTAGATTTCAGAATTAAAATCTTCACAGAATCATGGAATAAAATCCTGGAATGGTTTGTGTTGGAAGGGACCTTAAAGCTTATCCAATTCCAAGGGCAGAAGCTCCTTCCATAGACCAGGTTGCTCCAAGCTGACTCCAACCTGGCCTTGAATAATTAGAGTTAGAATTTCCATGCACATTTGCACAGAGTACCGAGGTACCTGGTTAATCCGATTCCTGAGTGACTTTCCAAGTCTAGGATGAGGTTCTGGGAAGTTTAACACCTCCAGAGCTTTCCCATCACTCCTACATTTGCTCTCATTTTAAAAAGAGTGCTATAATTTGATTTAATTATTGTCCAGCCTGGAAAGGAGGGAGCTGGGGAGGAGGGTTTGGGGCAGCTGCTGAGGGGTTGGAGCAGCCACAGAGGCTGGAATTTCCCTGTTTCTCCAGAGCCCACCTGGGAGAAGGAGTGCTGCCTTGAGAAGGCTGACCCAGAACTGAGACTAGATGGCATTCCAGAACTAAGCAGGGATTTATTCCAGGATCTCCTCCATGGATCCACCTTGGGCAGCACCAGAGCCCAGCCAGGGCTGCACCCAAATGAACCAAAATGGCTCCAAAATGCACGAGCGCTCCCGGGGGCTCTCCCTGGGATCAGTTCTGCTCCATTGGCACCTTGGAGTTCATTGTCCCATTCCAGCTTTAGCCCAGGCAGTCCCATCCTGCTTGTTTTTCTCTCTCCAGCCCACGCTGTTTGTGCTCCTGGGCTGAGATTTGGATCATTTGTCCTTGGTGCCCAGCTGGAGCAGGAATTGTTTTGTGTCCCTGCTCTGTGCAGAGAGCTCAGCATCCCCTGATGTGAAACTCAGAATTACACACTAAAGCAGCTCAGAATGTGAAAATATAAAAGCCAAAACCTGAGGCACCAGGAGCAGGGCAGTGATGGCACTGAGCTGAAGGGCTCAGTACCCCGACCCTTCTTTGCTGTCTGTGTCACTTGTCCCCAGCAGCTCAGAGGAATCAGCAGCTCTCCCTCCCCAGCAGAGCTCCGAATCCCAGCCCAGCTCAATGAGGCGCAGCGGGAGGATTAATCCGAGCGGGAATGCTGCTAATTCCTGCCTCTCTTTCTTTGCCGGGCGCGGCTGGTGCTGGGACACTGCCAGAGCAGAGCAGCGCTGGCAGCTCCCGGCATTCCAGGACATGGGTTGGCCCCAGCGGGTCGCTCAGGTGCTGCTCCCTCTGCCAGGTTAGGCACAGGGGCAATCCAAGTTCAATGCACCTCCCTCGTGCAGCTTTTGGGTGATTTTTGGAGTTACCGAATTCTCCGAGGCAAAATGAGAATGGAGATATTTTGGAATGTTTGGCCTCAGCATCACAGAAAGCAGGGCTGGGAGAATTCACTGACAGCCATTGTCTTACCTCTTGGGAGCTGCTCTTTTCCTGACCTTAAGGAGATTTCAATGCGGAATTCTGTTTTCTTTGAATTGTTTATTTGCTGAGACCCTGGCACAGGTGCCCAGAGCAGCTGTGGGTGCCCCTGGATCCCTGGCAGTGCCCAAGGCCAGGCTGGACAGGGTTTGGAGCAGCCTGGAATACTGGGAGGTGTCCCTGCCGTGGCAGGGGTGGCACTGGGTGGGCTTTAAGGTCAGTTCCAACCCAAATCATTCCACGATTTCATGAGAACTGCTACTCATGCAGCAGGAAGAAAGAATTGCTCATTAACTCCACCTGACAGAAAAGTCACAGAAATAAATGCTCCTTTTTGTGCAATGGCATTTCCGATGCATTTGGCTTTTTTTTTTTCCCCAGGTATATTCACCACTGGTGATGCTGAATGGTTCAGCACAGTTTCCACCACAGTTAGTTCATTAAATCTTAAACAAAAATCTCTCAATTTTTACCATTCTTGGTGTGTGCAAAAGAAATAGGAATAGGGAAATTTATTAATTTACAAGCATTTCTAAAGCTTATGATACTTAGTTCTGAAGACTTCATCTTCTGGGTCTTATCAATACCTCTCTCAGTCAAGAGGAAGAAGGAAAATGAACTTTTACAGCAGACATTCATCATCTTTAAAATAGAACTGTCACTAAGACAGACCCCTGCCAAGACAGATCCATTAAATGTACTTAAGATTCATAAAACTTTCACAAGGAAAGAGATCTAATAAGCCCGAAGAGGTCTCTTAGAGAAGGAGAAATCAGAGCTCTCCCAGTCCATTTGCACCCCCAGCTGAGTTTCTGGGGTTGTTTAACTTGCTGGTCCCTCCCTGAGTTTGAAAGCCTGTTCAGTGTTAATTAACCTGTTGCCTATTCAAATTTGGAACAAGGTGGGAGGTTCAGGGTGAAGTTACAGAGATGGAGCAACCTGATCTGATAGATCCTTACTGAGGGAGGAACTATTCCTCCTCCTCCCTGCATTCCTGGAGTTTATCTTGTGCTTGGGCCCCTCCAGCTGCAAACCAAGCAGAAAAACAGTTTTTATCTGGCACAGCTGAGAGCTCCTTGCCAGACAGGGAATTTTTTCAGCTCACCAAAAATTCTAATGAGTGCTATCCTTGGAATATCAGAGTGGAAGCAGAGCCCCAGGCACAGGAGGTTGCAGGGCTTTCCACATACATCTGCTCCTAGAACAAGGAATTCAGGAAGGGCATAAATCCCTTCTGTGAGATTTGCTGGACTGGGAAAGCTCCTGGTACCATTGGTATTCCCCAGTGGTGGTTCCCACCCAGTGCAAAACCCAGCTGGTTTTGATTGAAGGACGATTTGTTTGTGCCAGAGGTCTCCTCCATCCCTCTGCCCTCAGGAATGGGAGCTGAGCACACCAGGGCTGGGACATCCCTGGGCCCTCAGGCATCACACAGTGCTGAGCAGGGAAAAAGCTCCCAGCTGGCACAATCTTTACAGAAAAGAGGAGAGAAAAAAAAGCACAGTATGTGCTGCCTGTTGAACCAAGCAGGGATTTCTGACTGATCCCCAAAACCCTCCCCAAAGAGCCCCCACAGCTCCTGCCAAGGGCTGAGAGGGCTGATGGGACAGCCCCTGACTGCAGCCTGCCTGAGCAGCCAAACCAACCTGCTCTGCATCTCACCCACCATTTCTTATCAAAACACTGCCCTGATACAGGGAGGCTCTTACAAAACATCATAAAGCCTGCTGGTGCCAAGGAATGATTGCTGCTAGCATTTATTTTTCCACAATTATTTTCAGGGTTGTCCTTTCGAGGCAGACCAGATCAAGGAGTGGTGCGTGCAGTACCTCATCCCAGGATAAATCCAGGGAGGCTCTATGACTCAGGAATGACTCACTGCTCCTCCTCTGTTCCTTCCAGACTCTTGGGGGTGTGCTAATTTATTGTCAGTCTGTATCTGCAGTCAATTATTCCCCCCAGCTCAGCTCTCCTGTCCAGAAGGAATTCAGGCACATTCTGCTCATTGCTCACCTCTCCAGAGAGGCAAACAGGTGAGCAGACAGGGTCACCTCCACTCTGGCAGCCAGAGAAAAGGGGGAGGGATTTTTCCTTCCTTGAATAACATGTCAGGTTAATGATTTGGAACTAGAGTGTTCCTACCAAACCCCCCAAATCCCAATTACTAAACTAAGACTGACCTTTCAGAGAGTTATTTCGAAAAACTTGGATAAAATAAGGTGGGTATGACTCAAACAACTGGAGGAAAGTGTCTGCATCACAGCTGAGGTCCACAAATTGCTTTCACTGTCAGAATTAGGCATTCAGAATAAAAAACACAAAACAAGAATGATTAATCTCTTTTTCCTCTTTAGCAAGACAGATTGAAGCATCCCAGTGGAGTTGCAGGGGAAGTGTTTAAACAATGCCTGCTTAGTGTCCAGCAAGTCCTCACTAGTAGGAATATAAGAAAAGAAAAAATAACTAAAATATGAGATTTTGACATATGCATGTACAAGATACATAAGCCCAGAGAATCACAGAAGCTTGAAAAATACTGAGTACAAACAGGCCTTTTCAGCTCTTCCCAGCCAAATTTTGTGAGCCTGAGGACACAGCAGATACAGTAGAAATGCATAAAAATATTTTTCCAGTGGCAATGCTGATTTAAAAATCTTCCCCCATGTCATTCAGCTCACCTCCATGTGATTTTCCCACTCCCTCCTCCCAGGTTGTTCTGTGAGACATTTTTCAATGGTAGCACCGACTCAAGATACAGCACCTTTATCACTTCCAACTGCTTATTCCCAACATTGTATTATCCTGGCATGAGGAGCTCTGTGGTAAATGCTTGTTCTGCACAGACTGGGGCTGAAGTGGTCCTGAACTGGCCTTGCAAATCAAAGAGAGATTGAAAACAAAGGTGCAGAATGGCAAAATAGCAATGAAATATCATTTTTAAATTATATACTTTAACATGTAAACAATTCCCCATGTCCTAAATTCATGAAATTACAGAATCCTGGAATGGTTTGGGGTTGGAAGGGACTTTAATGATCTTGTCCCAGCCCTCTGCCAAATTCTTCTCATTAAATGTTCTAATCAGCCAAATCTTCTGAGACAGTGACAAGCTCTCAGAAACCACACAATGTTGCAACTTGACATTATTATATATTCAAATAATTTTATTAAGCACAGTGTGGGAAGCTTGGCTGTTTTTCAAAATATCTGCATCCAAAAGAAGTCCCTACACCTACAAAAATAGCAGTTGCAGACAGACTCCAGATCAGAGTGTTATTCACAGCATCAGACTTGTGATCAATAGCTGGGAGAGTGTTGCCAGAAATAGTCCTGCCCTGGGAAACGCTTCCTGCTGCCTCAGAACAGGTTGTGCTCCTGTCCTATTGCAGTTTCTCCTGGATTTTATCTCTGAGTACACAGAGAAGAAGCAAAGCTGCCTGACTCTGGTGTAGCCATGCTGTGAATCAGGCCAGAAGCACTAAAATCACCAACACCCAGCACCCCCTGTGTATTTCTGACAGGGATGAATTCCTCCCTCAGCCCGTTCCCCCACTTGCACAAGAATTCACACAGCCTCTTGCTGAACCGGATGGGAAATCGATCCAGCTGGAAAAGCAAAGATCCCCATCCCCATTCCAACACAAAAAAGGCTCTCCCAGCCAGATTGCTGCTCGGTTTGTGCTGTGCACAGACAGGACAAAGTGCTGAGTTCTGCCTGAAGCAACCCAGCCTGGGAATGCAACACAGTCTGAGGCTCCACCTGGAAACAATTTCCCCCCATCCCTTTTCCCCTCTCTTTCCCTGCAGCGTGCCTTGGTTCCCCTGTGCAGCACCACAAACAGCTTCACAAGCACGGAGCAGGGACCACTCCTGTGCCCAGGGCTGGGGAGAGCTGCGGCTGCTGCCAAGGAAAAGTCTTTGCAACTGCTGCCAACTAATCAGGTAAATGCTTCCAGCCTGCCCAGGCCAAGCTGTGTCCTTTTGCTATTCCCCAAATATTTATGTCTTCGTGAAACACAGAAACATTTCATCAGAGGTCTCTTATTCCCAGCGTTTCATGTGAAGTTTTTGTTTCCATGCTCCTAAACCCTCTTCAATCTGACTAATTCACACAGAGTCACAGAGCCCCAGAACCCAATCAGAGATCCAAACCCCAGAATCCAATCCCCAGATCCACATCCAGGCAGAGAAAGGATAGGAAGTGGTGACAGAAACTTCTGCACTGCTGTGTGTTCCCTACCTGCAGCTGAAGATTCTTATTCCTCTTTTTCCTTCTTTTTTCCCCCCTCCCTCCATCAAAAAGTGTTTGCCTCTGAACTTTCCAAAAAGGAACAAAAACACAGGAGCAGTTTGGGAAGTTCATGTAAATCAGCTGGTGAATGTAAATTTAGTCATTCACTTCATGTAAATTCAGTTGGTAAAAGGCAGTTTGGTGTTTCCTCTACTAATTACTAAGAATTTACACGCTTAGTAAATCTCTTCTTAAAATTCTGAGCTCCCCACTGATCTACACCAGCAAACACATCAGAATCTTCCCAGTTAGGATGAGTAATTGAGGAGCTGAGTTATTCAGCATTGTGTGGTCTGTGCCAGCCAGGAGATAAAATTCCCAAGTGTCTGTTCCTTCATTTACTTTCTGCAAAAAGCCTTCCCTTGGTAATTTTAGAGCTCAGAGCATGACAGAACATAGCAAGTTCCAGCTGAATAGCACACTCCCCAAAAGTTTGCTGTTTCCTTAATGCTCATGAATATTTCAGGAACTCTGCTGAGAGGTTTCGGTGCATTCCAGGACAGTGATTCTGGGTTTCTCTTCTGCCTGCACAGGAAATGTGGCTGGACTGTGCCACACTTTGCATTATCCTTTTAGCCAGGATTTATTTCTATAACAGAATCAGATCCCCTGAAATCATAGGAAACTATAATCCTTGACATGAGATGGGCACAATTTGTGATTGTTGTGAGAGCAGAGTTCTCTCTAGAAATTCATTCATTCCCTTAAACCATGAGCAGTGCTCGAGTTAAGAAATAGAGTTTGCTTATCTTACCCTTTCAGTTTATTGTTTTCCATTGCTTGAGCTGGTAAAAACACTTGGACAAAAATCTGAAATAACAGCAACACACAAGATCAGCAAATCAGTCTTTTCCAGCTGAAATTTGATTTCTTCAAAAAACTAAAGTGAATTGCATCAGCATGTGGTATAATTTGGGAAATACTCAATTGTGGTACAAGTGAATTTAAGTATTTAAATGTATTGTTTAATTTATCTTCTTTTGCTTATATTGATGCCTTTTTAATATGCCACAATAAGTCTTAAAAATAATGTCCTGTTTAACAAATAGATTTGCAGGTCTGTGTTCTGAGAAAGCTGAATGAGCACTTAAATGACATAAAAAAATTGTGTCAGGGTTTACAACACATGCTTATCCTGAATGCTTTGCCTCTAAAGAAATGCTGACAGCAAACCAAGGAAATTATTCACATTTTTAAAACCCAGAATGCGAGAGAAGCCAATAACATAAATTATCTGGGCCATTTCCTTCTGCAGTTAGAGCAGAGAGCTCACAGAACCTGAGCTCTGGTGAACCCCCACATGGGACTGTGACCTTATAGCTGCTGTGGGTGGGTTTGCACAAAACCCATGGAATTTCCAGGTTGGAAAGGACCCTAAATAGGGAGCTGGGAGTTGAATTCTGTGGGAGCAGGGAGGCACTTCCCTGCCCAGGGACACTGAGCTCCAGAATTCCTGATTACAGGTGGATTCTTCTGTGCCAGCTGCACTCTGCTGCTGCCAGGGATCCCCCCTCGAGTTTTGGGATGTGCCTGTGCCTCCTGGCCAGTCTGAAATCTGGGAATTCAGGGACTGTGCTGCCTGGGGGAGCAGGAGGTTCCCTGACTGGGATGTGTCTCCAGGGATGGAAAGCTCCAAGGAACACAGATTAGTAACTGCTTCAGCCACCCCACCTCCAACCTGCTGCTCCTGGAGTACAAGCCCACACCTGGGCTCAGATGGAAAATGTCTAATAAAAAAACCATTTTTCTTTATAATTTCTTTCCTGTTTAAGACACACACTTTTATTTAAGAAGACAAAAGCCCTGACTTGCTAATTTTAATTGAGTCCCCAGTCTGTGAGGCAGCTTGCCTTGATTACATTGTACTAAATTACTCATCCTGGACAGATCCTTCTCTTTATTTTCTCCTCCAAGAGCCAAAATATGATATTGCTTGGCAAGAGGAATGTGCATCTAAAATGTCAAATTACAGCTCGTAACTATTACGGGATAGTTTTGGCCATAGCCCTTTGTGACTGTTCCAAAAGAGATTTCTCTTTCTAGGAGATCCTAAAACCTATTCCATGCTTCATGTTTGGGTTTAGGTGGCATTTTGAGCATGTGTTGCTTTGGTTGAACTTGAAATTTCTAATTTATGCAAACTTCCAAAGTTTCAGATTGCATGAACAGATAACTCTGTGTGTATACACAGTGCAGACATTGAGAACTGCAGATCATTTCTTCCCAAATCCAAAGTAGCCACCTATTAAATGCACATTACTTAACATAACAGAAGAATAAAATGAGCTTCAGCTTTTCATCTGAAGGCAGCACAGGAACTTGATTAAATCTCTGTCATTAATTAACTGATATCAGCGTTCGCTACAATTTAATGAGAGCCTGTTCCTTGGTGTTATAATTCTAAACCAGGTGCCACCAGTACACTCAGACCTCTGGAGTTCAGTTTTCATTGGAACATGGAGAAATGGCTTTGTTTTAATTTAATTTTATTTTTAGTTTAGCATCTGCAAGTTTGGTCTTCAGTGCTAGATTTGCAATAGATTGGATTAATGGAAATATAAAGTCTTAACAGAGAAATGGAATTCAGTCTGTATTCTGAACATGGACAGGAGTGATGGAACCATGAAGATTTTGCTATAAATGTTTGTGCAATTCAGATTTTACTTTTGCTGTGCTAAGACAGGATGCTGGACATAATTTTAAATATTAACATACCCATCTCTGTTAGCAGTCCAAGTTCCATGGCTTGCTTTTGAGGAGGTCACGCTGCAGGGAAAGGCAGATTCCTTTCCTGGAATCTGGAGGGATGCCTGAAGCCATCCTGATATCCTATGTTCCTGCCTGTGGGGCCTGCTGGGACACCTGGCTTTTTATAAATGGATTTTGTGGAGGTGAGAGGCACTGATGGGTGGAGGGGGAATGTTAGGAGTGGTTTTGATGAGGCAAAACTTAAAGGCCTCCAGATGATTGCTCAATCAAACTGAAGGATTCAAGCAGAGCTGCTCCTACTGCCAGATGATCATTATGTTATGGAAGAGGTTTGGATGGAAGAATTTGGGAATTCAGTGATAAAGTAATGATGAATCCTCCCCAGACTTGTCAGATATCCCATGGCAGGAGCTCTGCCTTTTTGCTGATGATTGAAAAAGACATCTTGGCAGACCCAAATCAAAGACTTCCACAGCTTTGGAGGGCTTGAGCCTTTTAACCACATGGTAATTATAAAGACTATAAATAACACTGAAAAATCCAGTTCAAACAGTCCTCAATAAATTATTTTAATGTGCTGTTATTGGCCCCCTCGTTCAGGATATCACAAGTCTGCACAGTCAGTTTGACAGGCTGAAATGTGCTCTATCAAATCAACAGCTCAGCTGTCTTACAGACTGAGAGAAGCCTTGATTCTGTGTTTGTAAATGTGGCATTTGGGGACATGGGGCAGTTCTGGGGGAGCAGCAAGACTCAATGGTCTCAGAGATTTTCCAACCAAAACCATTCTGTGATTCCATCAAAGCTTCACCCAGTGTGAGGGAAGTTTTGTCACCTGAAAGGATATCAGGGAAAAGCCATCGAAAGAGCTGTCTGGACTGTTCTCTCCATGTTTGTCAGATGAAAACGACTCCAGGAACCCACGAATTTGGCTTTTCTTGCGCAGTTCCTTGCTGAGGGAGCCCAGGACAGCTGAGTGAAGGCAGTGGCTCTGAGGGACCTAAGCTGGGCAGTGCCACCCACCCAGTGCTGCTCTGGTGGGCACAGTTGGACTCAGTGCTCGTGGTACTTTCCAGCCTCAGTCAATGTGGGATTCTGTGAATTATGTCTAGATCTGAGCTCCCAGATGTAGGAACAGCAGCAAAATGCAGCTTTCCTGCCTCCTAATCAGCGATGAATGTTTGCCTTGGAAACCTCTGCAAGTATTTACACCCTGGAGTGGGGCTGCTTCAGCTGGAACACTGCAGACCTGGGGATTTTCTTCCTGCTCCCAGCTGCTGTGGTCATTCCCAGGTGTAACAACCCTGTCTGCTCACCAGCCTCAACCCTCCATGCTTGTTTGGATGTGTGCCACATTTGAGTATCTTCCCAAACCATGGAGGAGGTTTTTCCATTCTCCAAACAGAAAATGTCCCCCACTATCTGAGTGCTGGAAATGACAAAAAACACTCTTTTCCTGTTCAGGGAGAAAATGTTCCATGTTATCGGTATTTGCAGGAGAACAGTACTAAGAATTTACCTTTCAAAGCAGTCCATACTGAGAAGTAAGCAGGGCCTTTGAACACTTTTAATTATCTTTAAACTGCACATTGGAGCATCTTTGTAATGTTTTAGGTGTACAAAACAAACAAGAATCTGCATCACCACCAAGACCCAACTGTGAAAACAGAGCTCATAGTCCCAACACTTAGGAGTGTGTGGAAACCCTGCTGAGCCCTTACTGCCCCTTTAGGCAGCAAAATCCCTTTGAAAATCTGGGCTTTCGGCCCAACCCTGCCAAGAGTTCTCTGTGGAAAGCTCCTCCTCCTGCCTGGGGCTGACCCTGGCACAGCTCTTGGAAAGGCTCAGCTTTCCAAACAGCCTAAAGCAGGCAGGAGAAAATCATGTCAGCAGTGGCAAATAGATGAGTTCCCAGATGATTGATTCAGATCCTTTC